GCAATTACGATGTGATAAGGTAGGTTCAACAGTTAAACCTACCACTGTAGCGGTAAATGCTGAAAACAGGAGCTGCTATGAATGTTTGGGAACAAGGGGCAGAGAGGAAATCTCTGTTACTTTTCTGATTTATTGATAGGGTCTCATTATGTAGCCCAGGCTGGTTTTAAATTTGCAGTACTCCTGTCACTGCCTCTTGAGGGCTAGGATTACAAGTGTGCACTACCACATCTAGGCTTTCTACATTACTCTTAATTTTACCACAAACTTGAATAAAACTGATCTTAAAAATTAAGTGTTTACTAATAATAAAGTACCATCTTTAAAATGTTTTTTAAATAAAATGATTTGCATGTCATCACATAAATAAAGGATATGGTCTTTCTTACCTGAATGTATACCCAGACATACAGAAAATTTGGCTTAGAATCCTCAATAAATACTTCTGAGCACTACATAAAATAGTTTATTTTTTCCCCAATTACATAACGTAAGAAGGTATAATTATGTAAAGTAATATAAGGTGACAGCTCATAAGGAAGTAAAATATAATCAATTAACATTTTTGAGATACACTTTCTTCTCCAGGATACAATGGAACATAACACCTATCCAAAATATCAAAATGAGGAATACAAAAGCTAAATGAGTGATGGGGTAATGAAAAAGAGAAGCCAACCTACCAAAATTTAGAAGACAGAATGCTTGAAAAGAAACTATAAACCTGTTAGTCTTAAAGAAACATTAAGGGCGTGGGGGCGCACACCTGCAATCCCAGCACTCAGAAGGCTGAGGCAAGAGGATCATTGCGAGTTCAAGACCAGCCTGAGCTAAAAAGTGAACTAAAGGCCAGCCTGAACTGCATAGAGAGACCCTGTCTCAAAAAGACCAAAAAAAAAAAAAAAAAAAAGAGAAACATTCATAATAAGTTTTAGATAAACAGAAGAATGAGGACTAAACTGAGGACTCTTAATCTAAAAACTCAAGCAATAACATGATACCCCAGAAGTTTCAGATTTTGGAGCATTTCAGATTTCAGATTTTGGATTTGGGATACTTAAATGGTAAAACCTATCTATTTTTTTTTTATCCTCCAAAATCTAAAACACCACTGACTCATACATTTTAGACAGGTATTCAACTTGTATTTCAAATAGTATGCATAAAGGTATGAATACAAACCAAACTGCTGAAATATATCACTATGGTTAGAGTGGTAGTATACAACGTCTTGCAAAGACCAGTCAGTCTAGCTTCATACAAAAGAGAAAGTTGGGATTTGGGGTGTTAAATGTTGAAATAGGTATTAGAAAACAAATGAATTAGTCTCACAGTAATAAAAGATGGATAAAAGTTCTTACATTTTGAAAACAGCTGCTGCATAGAAGAATTTGGTCTAGGTGAAAATAAACTGAGATGATAAAGAGCCAAGGTTTTTTGATTTGTCAAAAAAAAAAAACAAAAAAAAAAAAACACCAATCATACAGAAATATGATAAAGGGGCAGGGGGAAGATGAGGGGAAGGAATAGAATCATACATCACAGGAAAATATCTAAAAATATAAATTGTGTTCAGGGTTAGGCCTATATTTATCCTAATCATAGACAATCCAACACATGGTATAACCAGGTATGAAACATCCAATCTATACACAGAATAGAGAGACACACAATCCTGAGCATCTGAAGAAACTTCAATTGCTCTGAAATAGTCTTGTTTCTTTTGTCACTTTTCATGATATTTTCCTTTTAAGTAGTTTACTTCACAGCACTTCTACCAAATAGGTTTTGAAATATAGAGCAAATTGTATGACAGAAAAAAAGAAACAAAATTTCAAATCTGTAAGAGCAATTTCATGTACTAAAATGGAAAAAAACAAGGAATTACCATAATTTATCTTTAGGTGACATTTTTGTATAACTACACATATGTAACAAAATGTTATCACACACAGAACTAAGTAAAAACATACCAAAAAACACATGCATAAATTTTAACAAGGAATAATACAACACTTAAACTCAGGAAAACAGTCCTTCAATTTGGTCAGGTACCTCTGTGAGGTTGAACTAACACACACACAAAAAAAGTAGAATTTGTATCGATAAAAAAAGACATCTCAGTCTTTACTCTCCACCAATTGGTCCTTGAGCCCAAATAATTTTTGGAATCAAGCTTTATTATGTTTTCTTCATATGCAATTTAAAAACTTAAAAGATATTAGAATTTCTTCATTTTTTCTAAATATTTTCTCAATATACCTAAAGGAGTAAGATAAAATTTTACACTCAAAATACAATCTTTAAAATCTACTCTCTTTATTTGCTTTAAATTCTCAACGTGGCAGTCTCCATACTAGTGTCCCCTTTTGTCCCAGCCCACGGGTACAGTCAACGTGAACCCTAGAGGGGGAGTGGGGATTATAAAAGGACGAGACAGGAAGAATGGAGACAAGACAGTGCTCTGATCAAGTCTCATTTATTAGCGGGAAGCGCCGTGCTTATATACCGCACGGAGAAACGCGGAAGTTCTAAGGCGGGAATAACCAAGTAACCGGACAAAGGTGGGAGTAACTAGGTAATGGTGGGCAGTCCTAGTTCTTGAGGCGGGAGTAGCTAGGCAACGGTAGGCAGTCCTGACTTAATGGGAAAGGCGTGTAAGACGGCTACTAATATACAATGGAGGTCAGTCTCCGTCTCCTACACCCTTTTTCCCCAGAAATCTAAAAATAAAAACCCACATGAATTAAGGATGCAATTAAATCATCTTTATATAACCTCTTAAACATTTACCCTTTAGACATTCTGATGTGAGATTCACTGACTCCTATATATTTAAGAAGGTTATGAATAATGATTCTGATAAAATTAATTCCTTTTTTAGGTGAGACTAAACCTTTCCATATTTATATAAAAGAAAACCAAATACTCATTTGGTAAGCATAATAAAGTTCTTTAAAATATTAGTTATAACACAGTATTTTAGGGCAGTTTCTCCTGTTTAGTATTGGAAGTATGTTCTTACAAATAGGGGCACTAACAAAATCAGTATTATTCAAAGTCATTACACCATAATCGTTTTAGAGGTACTTTCCAGGAAATATATGTTATGTATAGTCAACACATAATTAACATTAAATTTTTTTTTTGTCTTTTGGACAAAGGGTTTCACTACGCAGTTCAGGCTGTCCTTGAACTCACTTTATAGCCTAGGCTGACCTCAAACTTACAGTGCAGTGATCCTCCTGTCTCAGCCTCCTGAATGCTGGGATTACAGCTATATGCCATCATGCCTGGCCTTTAACATTCAATTAGAAGTTATTACTTCCCTCATCTCTGTATTCTTTAGAATTTGTCTAACAGAAGATTCCACCAGGCCTGAAATATGACCCACCCAGACCCACCTGTTTACCAAATTAAATCTGTATTTTAAAAAGCCAGTACTTCTTTTGTATGTATGTATATACATGACAGTTAACATGGTTGTTCTTCTGTCTTCTATTTCTATGCTGAAAGAAACTGTCAGTGAGTCTTTGGTTGACCAGTATTGCATGTCTATATCTGTTTTCATGAGAAGCCACTTTGAAGATATCAATATGTAATACAACAACCACTGTTAATTCCCTACCACTTTGTTTGTAACTCTGTATTGTCTGTACTGTGCTTGTGATATGTTGTAAAATGTTGTATGTCTGTTAATGTTTCCCTCCTTTTATCTTTAAAAAAAAAAAAAAAGCCAGTACTTCTTTGATCTTTAAAGTAATTTCTCCATAAGCTATCTGCTTTGTAGTACATCATAATCATTAAAGAGCATGTAAGTGGCAAAATAAGATATCCATAGAGTAAACAAAAACCTATCAGTAAGTGCCTCTCAAATCAGACAAATATAAGAAATGGAGGAAAAATGGCAGGGTTCACTCTAGAGTATTTGACATGGCAATTCTACAACAAAGGTATTAATTAGTGCCTCTTAATAATTTGGAAAGTAAGTGATTTGACTATGTGCCTATAAATTCGTATTTAGCAGTAAATCTGCTTAGCAAAGATAGTGCCATTTGAGTAAAGTGCTATATGTAGTATAGACAGAGATATAGATATTCTTTAATTTCATCAGGCTTTTAAAATATATTAGTTATGTTTGATGACTGTAACTTTTAGTTCCAACTTACTGGAAATATTAATGTCTGGTGAAACTGAAAAATTATACAGCTCTCCTAACTTCTAGGTAGAGATAAACCGTGAAGACTATGGAAGGCTTTAAAGAAAAATCAACTATTAAAACATAGCTTTAAATACAGAATTGCTTCCTGACTTTCCACACTCATCTTCTAAGTTTAGTTTCAAATTTCAAAAGCACTTGACAACTGCATCATTATTTTTAATAGCTGCAGCTAACCCCAAAACTAAAATCTGAAAAATAATCTAATATTAAATACTCAAATATCTGCCCTCCAAAATTATTCATAAAATGTCACATATTACCAATATTACCTTACACAGAATCAAAGTAGTAATTAAATGTGGAGGTTCTGCTGGATGTCACAATATTAAAGAACACTCAAAAAAATAAAAAATTAAAAAAAAATTTTAGAAAGAACATTCCTTTTGAGCACTGCATCACTCACTGTTAAGCAGATGTCATTTACATACAGATGTATCTTTAATATTTGGTTTCTGAAATTTAAAAGTAACAGACTCCCATATTAAATAAATTATAAAAATTTTGGTATTTCTTTAAGCAGCTTAAAACTGAATGTTAACTTTATTTAAAAAATAGAAAAGGTCCATGTAAGAAGAAATTACAGATAGAAATTAGAAAACTTAATATTCTAGAACCAAATGACAAAATGATCAGTGTAGGTAAATGTTAAGAAATCATTCATCCTTAAATATTAGAAGACAGACTTCAGAACATACCCTATTTTTTGGCACAAAATGGGTATAGGTCACAAAACCTATGGATGTTTTCTAGTTTTTTAGAAAAACAGTCGAACCAATCATAGAATGACGTATGGCTTAAATTTATTTTGTCCAATTAATAGAAAAAATACATATTTGTTCTGTAGTTACTGTGGTGACAGTTTTACTTTCCTCTTCACAGTTTCGGTCACTGCTTTCCACTGGTATCGTCAACCAGGTCTCTCAGGCGAGATAAATGGTGCAAGGCCCTTTGTTTAAAAGTATAAAACACATTATAAACCAGTATTTAGGATTGAACAGCCAATGCAGAGTGATTACATTGTTTATTAATTTCAAAATTAGTACAACATGAAGGCAAAGAATATAAATAACAAATTTTGAAAATTGCTCCTTACAAAACCTTAATATCACAATAGTTGAAGGTTAGAACAATTTATCTAATGTATTAACATTTACATAAAAATTACACTACTGACATGCATCTTTTTAGGTTAATCTGCCAAATATACTAAAAATAATAATAGGTGTCATTTGTATCATACTTAACAAAACATTATTTTTCATGTATATTTCCCCAGTACTCTGCAAAATGATACCTTTTCTATTGGTATGTTATGCATACCACTTAGGAAATAAAGCACTTAGTTTACTTTTAACATTTACACTCAGGATACCTTAATAATTTTTAAATGCCACTTCAGGATCAGTTACATTACTGAGAAAACTCATTTTTTATTGCATGGGAAAAAAAATGACATTCAATAATGTTGTATTATATTAACAATGTGGACTTTTTTCCTAAAATAAGGCCAACATTGTATATCAGGTCTCATTGAAAAAAAATAATTATTTAAAGAAAAAAATGAGAAAGAACTCAACTCTCCATATTTCCTCGAATAATTCCAATTTTCTCTGTCCTGTTTTTTAGTTCAAGTCAGGACTGTATTTTCTTCCATTATGAATGCAAGCAACAGACCAGTATCTGTAAACTTAAGTCCCACAAAAGTCACAAAACTTTTTATATGACATAATTGCCAATAAAGGTATCTCAACATACCTTTTAGAATCATCACTATTTCAACATAACAGCTACTCTATTACAAGACTTATTAAACCCACTGCTGGAACAAACATGATCTAAGTCTTTTTGCTTACAGTATAGTTATGATGTAACTGCCACCTATCAGACAATTTCACACCTTAACACAGCTCATCCACAAAACAGGCTTTCTAAAAATCACTTTTCGTAAGTATTTAACAACATGTAGAAGGAGGTATTTTTTAATTTAAGCTAGGCAAAAAGTTTTATATGCGCTTTTTATAAAATCGTTTTTAACTTACCTGTTGCTCAAATGTATTATTTTAAATGCATGACTAAAGAAATACATATTATCGTATCAAACAGTTTTAATACTTGAATACATAATTCAATATAATTGATTTCCATTTTATTTCCACATAAAAACAGTGGCTAGGAAAAAGAAAAGGAGAGAACTGGAAACAAAGAAAAAAATGTGTTTTATGGTAGAAAGGAATAAAGAAGTTCAATAAAAACGTGACATTCTGAGTCCCCATACTTGATCTACGTATCTGCTTGCATTTCTTTTCATTTATCCTCCATCTTCCCTGCTTAAGACTAAAACAATGAATCTACTTGGCTGAGAGGCTATCAAAAACTAATAGTTACTTCAAATGCATGTGTAAGTGGAAATAGGGCTGAGGATGTGGCTCAGTGGAACAGCTCTTCCCTTGCAAGCACAAGACCTGGGTTTAATCCCCAGCACCACACACACACACACACACACACACAAAAAGTGGAAATAAAGTTGTGAGAGAAAATTTTACTTGATTTTCTTCTCTACAATATGAAAAAACATGGCTAATGAGGGAAACATCAAGGATGGTGTTGCCACAACAGCCATTGACAGCCCATATGTCCATCAACAGATGGATTAAAAAAATGCATTTTTCCACATCACAGAGTACTACTCTGCCATAAAGATAAACCTGAGTCATTTGGAAGAAAATGGACGCACCTTGAGACCATACTGGTATGTGAAATAAATCTGACGCACAAACTTAAATATCACATAGTTTCTCTTATAGGAGAAACACAGTAAAATGAAAGACCGATGACAGTAAGGGGATGAAGGGATGGGTAGAGGAGGGAGGGAAGGGAAGGGAAAAGGGATGAAATAAAGAAATTAAGGTATGTTGTACACACATATCAGCCTCCCACAAGGAATGTAAACATTATGTACTACACGCATGTACTAGTAAACCAAAACAATTTTAAAAAAGAAACTGAAGAAACTCTTAATGTACCTATTCATGGGGTTTACAGCAAATACAAACAACTTATAGAAACTCAGTAACTATATAAAGGCAGCTTAGTTACATTTTAATTTATCCATAAAGTGACTTCATCAGTATCCTATTTATACTGTTACTGACTGTTTTCTTACATACTGGCCTATCATGAGCCTAAATCCAGCAAAAAATGTATGAAAGGTTTTTCATTATCTTTCAATGCCTACCATTCCCTAGAAGGTAAAGTACTAGTATATTAGAATAAAGAAAATAAGATCACATTTTACAAGTCTGAGAGGTAGTGCTATCTATTTCTAGTATGGAATGAAGACTAGAAAATTGAACAGGAAAAAACTGAGGAAATGGACAACTTTCTATCTATCATTAAGTTTGGTATTCACAGCATGGACTTTAGTATTGAAAATTACAAAATCTTTCCCAATTGTTTCCAAATTATCTATAAACACATTCCAAAGCTAAACATAAATTATTTTGAAGGACTGATGATTTTGCAATAGTCTACCATTACTGGTCTTCAGGTTATACAGGAGATATGTTACTACTGATTCTTACTAGCTGGCTGTCTTCATGATATAAAAGATTGTAGGAAAAGCTCTTGTTCAAAAACTAAAATTCTCTCATATGCTTAAAGAAGACAAATTTTTCTTTTTTGTTTTTTTTTTTTTTTTGGTTTTTCTCCGGTACCGGGAACCGAACTCACGACCTTGCGCTTGCCAGGCAGGCGCTTTTGCCACTGAGCTAAATCCCCAGCCCCGAAGACAAATTTTTCTTACAGGGATTTCAGTTAAGATGTTTTTACTGAATTCCTAATACATGAATATATAAGGCTAAGTATTATAGGGATACAAACAAAACCATTATAATTTTGATTCCTGCTGTAAGAGGAATCCTGGAAAAAATAACATTGTAAGTTGTTATCAGTCATTTGCTAGATGTGACCAAAAAATTGCTGAATTTTAAAAATTATAGTAAAAGATAAACTGCCATTAATTCCCCTTAAGATACTCCCCCTCACTTTAAACACACTTATTCCATCATTCTTGCCACTTTCTGAAGCAGCTTTGAAAGTCTTCTTTCATGTTTTATTGTGCTGTTGTGGCTGCCATGATTAATTTAATACATTTATCTCTTACGGTCATTTTGACTTTGGGAAAGAGTCAGAGGCCAGCCCATACCAGATTTGGTGAATAAGGTGAATGAGGACATGCCATAATTTTTTTATTTGGGAAAAACTGCTATAAATGGTTGAGCAATAAGAGTGATCAAAAAATATTATGAATATTTAAATTTAAAAATATATTACAGGAACTAACCATTGCCATTCATCCCACTCCAAATATTTGCCCTCACTTAGAAAATGCCCATCGTTCTTGGTGATGGGTCTTTTAATATAATAATTTGGGGGAGGTCTGAAAACATTCACTCTATCTTTTGATCACCCCTTGTTTATCTCAGCTTTAATAAGTCCTCCTAGAAAACAAGTATTTCTAGTGGGAGAACATAAAGCATCTACAAGAAAAACAACCTAAACCATAAGCTTGGAGCTCCCTAAGGCTAATGGAAGATATTTTAAAACTGGTTAGCGATGCAAATTGTTAAAAACAAAAACTATTAGTTCAGGAATAGAAGTTATATACATACTCTAACTCAGAAAATATATTTGGGTCTTCAACACAAATTCAGTATCACTGCTTTTAAGAGCAATGGAAAGGTATTTCACTTTAAAATTTAAAAGCAAGCCAGGCGTGGTGGCACACCCAGCACTGGGGAGGCTGAGGCAGGAGGCGAGACCAGCCTGAGCTACAAAGTGAGCAAAAGAGCAGCCTGAACTGCATAGCGAGACCCTGTCTCAATAAGTAGATAGATGATAGATAGACAGATAGATACATAGATACATAGATAGACAGATAAATAAGTAAAATTTTAAAGCAGAATGAGGTACTTATCTAAAAGATCTTCTGAGGTCTTTAAGTAGTATCAACTAATAATTCACCAATATCATTAAAGAATGTTTCTTTTTTTGGAGGGGGTGGGTACCAGGAATCAAACTCAGGACCTTACACTTGCCAGGCAGGTACTGCACCAATGGGCTAAATCCCTGGCCACTAATGAACATTTCTAATACTGCTTTTCAAATCTCAAGTTCAAGTCTCAGTTTTACTCCTTACTAGCTAGGTAACTTTGAGCAAGTGTTATTACTTCATGTCTATTTCCTGATCTGTATTATGATGGTAACAGTACTTGCAGGGTCATGAGGATCACAAGAATTACATCAACACCACTTGTTCTAAATTAACACAAGAAGTACCAAAAGCACTGAGATTTGCTAAGTATTGAATAACTGTTATTATCCCAGACGTGGTGCACACCTGTAATCCCAGCACTCAGGAGGGTGCGACAGGAAGATCACTGTGAGTTCAAGGCCAGCAAGGGCTACAAAGTGAGCTCAAAGCCAGCCTGAACTGCATAGCGAGACCGTGTCTCAAAAAGACCAAAAAAAAGAACACTGCAAGTACTATGGCAATATCATGGCTGTAGTTGAGACTTGTATTCTTTTTTATGAAAGACAAGATAACTAAGAAAATTAGACCTATCTATATCTAGGACATTTTATCTAATTTAGATTTCTGTGAATATGCCCCCAAATAATACACTTAGGACTATTACGTTTATCCTAAAGGAACAATATGAAAATAACAAGTTATTATTAGAGGAGATCCACATCAGTAACTTATCAAATTGTTATCATTACTTTAAGATGAAGAAAGAATCTGAACCATTCATATCTGTTGTATTTTAAATGTCTAAGGTATCTCCTCAGATCCTTAGAATATTTTAAATAGGAAATAGCATAGATTTAAGAGAAAGCAATATTTTTCTCAAAGACAATGTGCTCCAAAAAGCTGAAATCGGTCTGGTACACTTTTCATCTTGCAACTACTTAATTCCACGCTTGACTCAGTCAAAGGAAAGACTAAAGTGGATTTGTATCCACAGCAGTAAAGAATACTTACTTTTGAAGAGACCTAGTAATAGGAATCATACTTTCCTTCAATTGCAATTTAGATAAATCATCTTCTGAAATCTATTATTAAAAACACCAAAAAAAAAAAATTTTAAATATTTTATAATTATAAAATTAAGTGCTACTTAAAATGTGATTAAGAACATTAAGAAAACATTTTCTGCATTTCTAAAGAATTATTTCTAGCAACAGTTTCCAGGGAAGCATTAAATATTTTATTTTTCATTTATCTAAAAATACTACATGTATCACTTAGCTTCACTTTTGATTTGTCCTCAAATATGCTTCTAAACATATATCCATTAAAAATCAAATCTTAGCTTGAATTGTATCTTTACTGAACAGATTGTTTCAGTGTTATTTAAAAGGATGAATTACACTTATATGTTAATGCTATGATTATTAGAATGTCCAGAAGAAAATTTTCAAATACAATTCAAATGAAGTCAGTGATAGTTAAGAACTGATCCACACATTTGTTATGAAAATTGAATTTCATAAAGCTCTACTGATTAACAGTAACAAAAGACTGACAATAAAAGGAGCTACAATTTAACTGAGCATTTATCAGGTGACAACTACTATACTAACTACCTTACACAGTATGTCTCAAAGTACTGTATGTTTTTAACAACCTCCTCTTGCAGAATAGGAAACTGGTTAAAAAAAAAAAAAAAAGCCAGGCACAGAGAGGCAAATACTACATGATTTAATTCACATGTGGAATCTTAAAAAGTGTATCATACAGGGGGAGAGTGTAAAATGGTAGTTACCAGTGTTAGGGTGGGAGGCAGAGAGAGAGATACTCATCAAAAAATAAATTTCATCCAGGAGGAATAAGTTGAAGAAAGCTACTATACAATATGGTGACTACAGTTAGTAACGACGCATTATGTACCTGAAATTTGCTGAGAGACTTGAAGTGTTCCCATCACAAAAGAAAGTATGTGAGGTAATACACTTCAATTAACCCAATTTATCCATTCCAAACTATATGTATTTCAAAACACATTATACATCAAAATATATACAATTTTTGTTAATTAAAAAATTAAACTAAAGGATATATGTGATTTATTTGCATAAAGGTTCCACTTGCTAGTAGGTGGCAGAATTAGAATTTAGACTTCAAAAAAGCTTTGTTTTTAAACACTATACTTTTGTGAAGAAAATTCATTCCCCATAGAAAAGCAGCACAAAGCAGAAACAGTTTCAAATTTCCAGGAAATATACAAGTTTAAAAAACACAATGGTCCTAAAATAAAACATTACATAACTGTATTCAAAAGAGTCAATGAACACATGGTAACAAAAGTAAACATCAGATGACTGACAGATAAGTAAGTCTAATATTGAAAAAGTCTTTTAGGTTTCCCCAAACATAACTACAATGTGAACCATACAGATTAATTTTATAGGGGTTAAAGAAACATTTTTATAACTCATAAAACAGACATAACATAATGTCTAAATAAGGTGTTAAACTGAAGTCATAAAAGTAAGTTGAGAGGTTTAAAAAAACCCAGAAGTCTAACAGTATATAGTATAAATAAATCACTTTCTCAAAAACAGAATAATGATACAACTACATGTCTGTGACATGCTGGCATGCTTGTAACAAAGAATTACAAGTTGGTCTGAAAAAGATGTAGGAAGAAATCTTTACACAAATTCATAGCTTTCAATTCATAAACCAAGTTTGTGCTTACTTGCTTAATATCTTCTTCTGGTTCTACAGTTCTGTTCTGATTAAAACTTTCCTGTACAGCTTGAAGATTAAATAACATTTGTTTTAAGGCTTCAACAGGACCGTGATGTTTACCTCCTGAAAGGGTAGAACTCTAAAATCAAAACAGATGAGCATATGAGTTAAACCATTCAAATTTGAGAAAAGGAATTTTATTTTGTACTATTTTCCTCTAATATAAATTAATGCATAAATCCAAACAATGGGGCTAGGAATATAGCTCAGTGGCACAGCACCTGCCTGGCAAATGCAAGGTCCTGAGTTTGATTCCTGGTGCCAAAAAAACAAAAAACAAAAAACAAAAAAAAATTCAAACAATGTATGTTTAATTGTAACTCACCTCTTCCCCATACTCAGTTCCCAAATGAAATACAAGAAAATCATGGTTAAAACTTTGGCATATTCTTCTAAACCCTGATCTTTGAAATTCATATACTGCATTTAAAGTCATAGCTTTTGGTAACTAAAAAAGGTCTTCAGAGAGCAGGTGAACCAACATGATCTTTTCAGAACCCTAAATCAAACTGCTGATCAGTTGGGTGGGGACTAAAATTTCAAATACAGTATTCCTTGCAAATCTTAAAATATGTTTTCATACAATGAATGCTAGCTTTTCACCTCTGCAGGGCCACATCTCTAAAGAACTACCTAAGTAACACTTGTATCTCCATTATCACTGATTTTATTCCCAAAGAAGGCCACAGCACTTAATTACATAAGGTGGTCAGGATTCTTTCAAGATAATATATATATATTAAGAGATATTTTAAACTTCTTTTTGAAAGCTTTAACAAACTATTATTTTATACTTTTCAACTGAGTTGTTATGTCTTGACAGCTATCCACAAAATGATAAGTAAACCTCTTAAAATGTAATTTAAATAGTTCACCATAGTCAGTACAGTATAGGTACTATTTAAACTTCAATTATGTAGGAAGTTATTGACTTGCATAAGATTTCAAGGTAAGCAGAATGGCTAAAAAAGATTTCAAAGATACTCCCACAGTTATAAAAACAGGATGCAAAAAACAGTATAGGGATGTAAAATGGTACCGTCACTGAGAAAAACAGTACAGCATCTCCTTTAAAAATTCAACATAGAATTTACTTAACTACTCTATAATCTTGTAATCTGCCTTCTAGGTGTATATTCAAAAGAAGGAAAAGCAAGACTAAAACCAGTATTTGTATACCCATATTCATACTAGCATACTTACAATAGTCAAAAGGTAAAGAAAACCAAAGAAGGAAACCATGTGTGGATAAATGGTAAGAAAAATGTGGTACATACACAGAATGGAACATTATTCAAGCTAAGAAAGAGAGGAAATTTTGACATAACCTATAACACAAATGAACTGTGAAGACATTAAGAGACATGAAATAAGCCAGAGACACTAGGACAAATATTTTATGATACTTCTTATGGTAGCATAGTGACAGAAAGTAGAATGCTGCTCTTATCAGAGAATGAGGAGTTAGTATTTAATGGGTACAGATAGTTTCAGTTGGGGAACATGAAAAAGTTCTGGAGATGGATCACAATGGCAACTACACAAATGTGAAGATGCTAACTAATGAACGGCATATTTAAAAATGGTTAACTTGGCAAATTTCATGTTACATAAATTTTGCTACAATAAAATTTTTAGAAAAAGAAAAGGCATATAAAGGATTTAGTTAAGCTCAATACATATTGACATGAGCTACAATTTGTTCTGAGACTTCCCATTAAAACCTGGTAGTGAATGTACCCAGATACATTGTTTTTGTTTTTATCTTATAACCACAGGGTTTCACATATTCAAAAAACAAACAATTTAAACCAAACAGAACACGAGGATAGTCCAATACACATACTAACAAACCATGTAAGAATACCATAAATAATACAAACATATTAAAAGGAACTGAGAAAATAACCTAAGTAACTTTGGAGAACAGTATTTTGACTTGATAACATAAAGCTAATGAAAAAACCTATATATAAATAAGTTAATTAGTTGGTAAATCTGGTTCATATATAATGTGTGTGTGTGTGTGTGTGTGTGTGTGTTAGCAATTCTGAAACTATTTTACGCACATACTGACAATGAACCAATAAGTAAATCCACTGTAAATAATAGGATTCTCATACATGGAAAAAAGAAATTAGAACAACAAAAAGCTAAAATAAATCGATTAGAATTGGACTAGAGATCAATCAGAACTCTATGCAGATAGATGAACGCAGATGTGTGATAATACATAGGTGGATAAACACATTTCCTAGGTCAGACTGGCAAAAGACTGTAGAATAAATAACAATCCAGCAGCAGTAAGCAAGCCTAGAGCCTAGATCAGTAAATCCAATAAAAAGAACCACAGCTCCTCACAGAAGTACTCAAAAAATGGAGACATGTCAAAAAAGACAGAAGTTAATCAGAAAGAATTTATAAAAGTCTAAACTGATACAATTTAAAAACAATTTTGTATATTATAAATCTACAATAAAATAAATGTCTGAGGGATCACTGAAATAAACAACTTTATAAACTGTTGAGGACCACAAATCATAAAGTGGGCCCGGAAGCCTTAATGGAAGCCTCAATGGTCCTGTGATGCTGTGACACCCCAAGGCAAGACTGCACCAGCTGAAGACATCCTGGTTCCTTAAGAACCCAGTTGTAATAAAAATAGGGTTTCACCTAGGTGGAAGGACAAACTCCTTATTAACCTGCCATCTCTCCCCACTGTCCTCATCAAAAGAGCCTCATTAGCATAAGGTCATTGTCTCCCTCTGAGTCATCAGATAATCCCTCTGATTACTGTACACACCAAATAAATAGTGGCTAGCTCAGAGTGTCTTTGTCTTTGCCCATTCAGAAACAATGACCTTCCAGCCCCCCGTATCATGCATTACTAAATTTGTCTGTTTTTTATTTCATCCTTTCACCAAATCCCTCATGCAGGCAGTTGGGGATCTTAGCCAGGTCCCCAATAATAAACAAGAAAGAAGGTATAAGCTCTTCTTGATACATGAACTATATAAATATAGAAGACAAATTCCTTAATAATACACTTAAGATACAGGTTTACATAGTTTCAAAGAATCTGCTGTGAGAGTGAGATATTTATTAATTCCAAGGGGAACTGGTAACTTTACTAAGGAGAAAAGCAGTAAATACCAAGTATTCAAAGTTACCATCACCAATGTTAACAGAATATAAATATAATACTCTTATTAATAAATACTATAGCTTACTGCTTTATTGTACTAGCATATCAATATATTAATGACATCAATGTATCATGACCCTCTGATATGATGCACAAAATCATTTCTTAGGTGTTCTTCAAAAAATTGAACAACCTCATTGTGATTGTGAAAAAACTTCATACAAACCCAAATCATCTATAAAATAACTAAAGTACTAAAGTACTTTTCAAAAGCATCAGGAAAAGACTAAAGAGGGGCCACAGGGTAAAGTAGATTAAAGAGAAATGACAACTAAATGTAATGTTGCATCCTACAGTAGAACCTGGAACACTTAGTTCACTGGTTAAGAAATTCGTGAAACTATAATAAGGTCTACAGTTTAATTAACAGTTGTGCAACTATGTTAATTACCTAATGTAATCACTACACTATGGTTATGTAAAACGTTATTACAGGAAGCTGGGAGAAGCGGAGCACAGTAACTCAGTATTATTTTTGCAACTCTGTATATATAAAGTTATTTCAAATAAAGAATACCTCAAAAAACAGAGAGTCGGGTAATGTGGTTGTGTATGTGTGGGCAAGGAAGAGGGTACCACTTGGTTAGTATTTAACATCTGTCTCAAATTTTAAAGTCTTCCCAATGTGCTCCTCTACCAATGGTCCTTCCCTAAGAAAAAGCCATCACCAATCTCATTACAGCACGCTCACCTCATCAGACCTACTTTCAAAATATATCTCAAGTTCAACAATTTCTTACCACCTCTAATGTATCCACTCAAGTCCAAATCGCTATCCTGAAAGACTACAATTTTCTCCTGCTGTGGTTTGATACAAAATGTCCCCCATAAGCCTCATGTATTCCGAGTTGGCCTTTTCCACAATGACTGGATCAAGGGGTCAATACGCGTGCTTTTGGAGAAAGGGCCTGGTTAGAGGTTAAGTCACTGGAGGCATGACGTGGGAGGATATACGCTTGTCCTTGGTTCTTCCATTTTCTCTGCTTCCTGGCTGCCATGGCCCTCTGTCATCCTGTTCCTGCCTTGGAACCAGGTGACCATGAACCAAAACTATGAGCCAAAAGAAAGCTCTCCTTTAAGTGATAGGCGTTGGATACTGTGTGTCCCAGCAACAGTGAAGTCACTAAGAAACAGCCTAGATTGTTTGTTTCACCTACAAACTAGATTCTCAATTCCTTCTCTGGGTCCTCTTAACAATATGTTCCACACAGTGGCAAGTTTCTATATAAAAATGTAGATTATTTCATTCCTCCACTAAAACCCTCTAGTAACTTCCCATCTCACAACAAAATATAAAATCTTCACAGCTTACAAAATCCTAAATGATCTGCTTTCTGGCTACCTCTTCAACTTCCTCTTACCATTCTTATCTTTGTTCACTCTGATGGAGATACACTGATTGGACTCTTCCTGGAAGATGCCAACCACTTTTCTGCCTTGGATTTTCCACACTTTCTAGTACCACGACATGTAAAGTTGTTCCTTCTTGGGTGCTTATACACTCATTTCAGGTTTCTGCTAAAATTTCACTATTCCTGAAATTATACCCTGATCTCCACAATCCAGTTAATTTTTCCTCTTAATATTTATAATATTTCCTTATATATCACATACTAGGTTTCTAGTTTTTTTTGTTTGACTCCCCAAATGGGATATAAAACAAAAGGAAAGTACTTCACCTTATCGTACCCTCTACAGTACTAGGAATACATTTCCTAGACAAGTGCTTAGTACTCAAATATTTCACAAGTATTTCATAATGAAGCTTCACGCACCAGTATCTCCATAGTGGATATCATACAGCTAAAGTCAGACATATTCTGAGAGCTCCTACATATTCTCCAACAAATTCCACTCAAAGACACATTTTATTAAATATCTTAGCTAATTTTTAAGTGTTTAACCCCTCGAATCATCTAGTTAAGCATGCAGATGTATTATTACAGGCATGCTTATATTTTTAAGTCAAATTATGTATCATTTTTTACTTTGAGGGTTACTTAGAAAATATACATAAAACTGATTTTGTAAAAATGGGTATTTACCTATTTTAAATTACCAGATATATCACTGTATCCTAGAAACATAAGTAAACAACTAGTCTATGAGAAAATGTAAATTTCTCTATAGTCTAACAGTTCCCTTTGTTTTCCAAACCACACCCCCGTCCTTCTACTTTCATATAGTAAAATAAAACCACCGATAATTCCAGGAGTGAAGGTTTTATGAATGTGTTGAGAGAGAATTTGAGTGTTCTGATTTAAAAATCTTTAAATAACTTAGAAATTCCTACGTATGTATTAGTTATAAACCTTCTTTTAATAAGCTAAAGAGACTGAACTTCACTTACCTGATTATCATTGTTCAAAAAACCTTCAAGAGCCTCTTTAGCACACTTTGCCCTTGAAGTTTGTTGAGGACTATCATCAGAATGAACAGGAACAGGAGATTTGCTAAATAGTATTTAAAGGGTATGAAACAGCAATTAAGTTCTCAAATTCTAAAAATTAGTATGTAATTTAAGAATTTTCATTTAAATATAAGTAATCACCAAGAAATAAACATCATGGATATGATCAATGTTATATGGTAATTTCCCCATCTTCTCCCTAAACTGATAGCAGAAGCCAACACCTTTCTATGCCCTCACTTCCCCTTGTAAACTTTAAGGAAAAACTGTAAAGAAACTGAAGAGTTAGTCCTTAAATAAATGAATAAACTCTCAACTAGAGCTCTAAAAATTCATTTGAAGTAAGTACAGCAGCACATGTTTCCAATTACACACTGTCAGGATGGTGGTGTAGATCACTTGTAGAGTGCATGCCTAGTATGGGCAAGGCCCTGGATTCAATTCCTAACACCATTAAAATTTTTTTAAGATTAAAATTAAAATATCATTTATCCAATTAGAGTCAAACCCCCACAAACTCATAAAAATTTCTACTGAATGTACCATATCAAGGCAATAGGATGTACTTGCTCTCCAGAACTTGTATTAATGTAAAAGACTGATTGACTATACTGGAAAAGGGATTAATTTTGAAACTGGAATTTTATTTAATTAAAATTGTTGAGTGCAAACCCCAGTCCCACTCACTCTACGACCTTAAGGAATTTATTTGTCTGAATTTCAGTTTTTAAATGTACTGTCCCACTTATGTCACAGAGGTATTGGAAAAATAATTGTGCTAATTCTTTATGTTTATGTAATTGATACCCAATAAATACTCATTTATTTCCTGATGCTCAAGGAATAGTACATAGCATCCCCAGCAAAAATAAGAATATTGCCAAAGCAAATTCTATTAGTCATAGAAATAAATTCATTAATTATTTTTCTTATTTTTATAATTACTTATTTTATCTTATCACTATAAAGTGTTTGTAACTCAAGAACTCAGATATGTAAAAATCCTTTTACAACATTTAATTTCCCACACTAATTTTTTTTATAAAAAAGCACCTCTTTATTGATATTTGTAGTTTCATATGAGTTTTTCCTTAATCCAGGTAGTCTTCTCCCTCACTGTTTACCAATATAGTTTGGATATCTATCCATATAGTGTTATCAAAAACATTTATGTGATTATTTAAGATGGGCGCATGTTTCATAGAGGTCCACTCTACTATTCTACTTTGAAATTTTTCATAATGAAAATTTTTCAAAAGCAATTCACTGATCCTACTTATAAGGTACTGTTATGGTTTGTGTCTGGGTGTCCCCCCAAAGCCTCATGTAGTCATGGGGCAGGCTTTTAGAATTTGATTGATTATGGGTGTGACAGCTACACCCGCCCTGGGGTGGATAGTTTGCATATGTAAGGGACAGGAAGAGGCTACTCGTGGCCATTCCTCCCTTTGAGTGGTTGTTGATTCTACTGTGTTCTGCCGCCAGGAGCTGTAGCCCTCTGCCATGTGCCACTCTGCCTTGTAACTTGCCAAGTACGGACTGAAAGCTCCACAAACTGTAAGCGAAATAAACTTTTCCTTCCTCAATTTTGGGTGTCAGGTATTTTGTCCCAGGAACGAGAGGAAAGTAACCAAGACAGGTACCTTTTAGAAGACTACTTGATGGTAGATTGATAATAATTTGTCAATGTCAAACAGATGCATCCATTTCTACTCAACAATCCATCCTTCACTTCATCTATAAGCATACCCATAACATGAACTGATCCTCCAAAATTAACTACTGCATGCAGGTTACTGGACCAAACCATTGGTAATTAAGTTATATAAACCAGAAGTTGTATTATTCTAAATACAAAACATACTTTACTCTTAAACATTTCTAGTATTACTTGGTCACTTACTTTGTCCCAATTAAAAGGAAAGCAATACATCTCTAATATTTTCCTAATATTCAAACCAACCAAAAAATTAAGAAATTAGGAAGATAAATAAGGCGAGGCATAGTGGTGCATGCTAATCCCAGCACTTGGGAGGCTAAGGCAGGAGGATCGTTGTGAGTTTAAGACCAGCCTAGGCTACAAAGTGAGCTCAAGGCGAGCCTGAACTGCACAGTGAGACCTTGTCTCAAAAAAAAAAAAAAAAAAAAAAAAAAATTGAAAAAGGTAAGCATAGCTAGTTATTAATCCAAGTTTTTTATTGAAACAGCTTGAGAAACAAAGCAAAAAGTCTAAATAAAATATTCTGGACAGACATTACCACTTCTACAATTTATAAGACAGTTCACCCTTAGTCAGAAACTATCCTAAGTACTTGTATTTTTAATCAGTTGAATCCCCATAACAACTCCAAAGTATTTACTTCACTACTCTGAAGTTTAGGAAAGTAATTTGCACAGGGTCTCACAACAAGAAAGCAGTACAGACAGGAATCCAAACTGGAATTATATACAGTGTTGCCATTCAAAGCTGAGGTATTCAAGTGAGAAGAAAAAAATCAGGAATTAAAAGACTCTAACAAAATAAAAAGTTTAGACAACAGAAGGTAAAAAACTATGCGAGCCTAAGACATGGGGTTACCAATATTTTATTTCTGGTAAGTCCAAGTATAATATCACTAAGAATAAAACCTCTGCTGCCTAAACTCCCAATTCTAACTCCATACTCACAATCCCAGGTTTCTAAGTGAATACTTCTTAAATTATTCTGAGAAACTATAACCTAGAAATGCACACAAATGCAAACAATCTTCAGAATTTTAAAAATCTAAACAATAGACCTATAAGAAAATGTACCATTACTTAAGGAAAAAAGATGACTAACAGAGAAAGTAAAATGTAAATGAAGTAACAGAAAACATGGAGTAGGAGCTTAAAATTAAAGAACAAAGTAAAAGAAATTTGATAACAATATTCTACCTGCAAAGAAGCCATCTTTGGTTCTAATACCTCATATTAAGCTATATGTCAATATTTAATAGTGAAGCAAAATTAATATGCAATAAATCAGAAGTTATATAATGTACCACTGAAGGCAGAAACACTGCACCACCTTGTGGTAACAAGTGAAAAATGCAATTTATAGCATGCCAAAGCTGAAAGCTATACTCTACATAATCGTAATATTACTAATTAACATTATTTTAAAAGTAAATCTGGTATTACATTTTTCATTTAGAAAAGTAAATACTGTCACTTACTTACAAAGTAACAGGAATATTTTCCCATGATCTTTCTGCTTCAAGTTTATCTAATGAGCATGGACTGTCATCCTTTTTCGTAGACTTTGGTAATTCTTCAGTACACTGTTCTAAATTTCTCTTGGCCTTCAGGATAAGCAGTTCAATTTTGTCACCTAATTTTTAAAAATTGTATTAGTTAAGGAAAAAATAGCATAAGTAGATCTTTCAAAATCAGTAAGATAATTTGGAATACACATTTATAACAGCAAATTATGTCAAAATGTGACCCCTCAAGTGAACATAAAGGAGAAAATAGACATATATAGTTATAAAATGATATATGAATGAAAATAAACATTCTAAAAAGCAATATATCAAAAATAAAATATAAATGCTCACACAAAGTAAATCTATAGCACTTCCTTTGGTTAAAAAAAAAACTGAAAATATTACCACTGAATGGCTTTTTGGATTGTCCTGGAAGAAGCAGATTTTCAGAATCACATTTGCATTCAGTAAGAAGTCTTTTATCATCACATAAGGAATTTGAACAATTTGTGGGTCCCAAAGAGCATTCCAAGCAATCTACTTTATTCGTAAGTGGAGTTCTTTGTGCCTGACAACTATGTCTAGGGGAACAATGCTCTTCTTTAGAAACCCTTTGACTCTTTGCATCAGGTAACAAGTCTTGATTGTGGAGCCAGACTGGGTATTTAAAATCAGGAATACTAGTTATCCCTGAAACATTAAGATCAGATTTCTGGCTAGTGAGCCATCTTGGATAATTCTTTTCAAGACCATCTTCTGAACTGTCCTTGAAAGATTCTTTAGAAAAAGATAAAGATGAGTCAAAAACACATTTATTAGTCTTATTTGTAGGTTTCGGGTTTTTTAGCCTACCACACCGTTTTCTATCTGTGTATACAACTGGAGTAACGAAGTTATCCATGCACATGGGAGTGAAGGCCTCTTGAAAATTTGGATTCTGTTCCATGTCCAATGAACCTGATCTTCTGATGTATTTCTTGTTTTTCTTTCTTGTTCGGTGACCTGATCCAACACAAGTGAAAGAAATCGATCCATCTGCTGGAAGTCTTAAGAGATCATCAGTTGTTAGGCTAATGGAGTCTGCGTCATTAATAGGCTCTCTTCTACAGGACAAGAAGTGTGACTGTTCTCTGTGATCTCGATTTTCAAAAGCTGAAAAACAAAACATAGTTCTGCTTATCTTCCTTTTATAACATACATACAGAATATCCAACAGTAAATATAAATTAAGAATTTAATAATCTTTTTTGCTGCTTTATCTTCACTAAAGTGTTGAAGGTATAAAAGGTATGAACTGATAAAATAGAATATCCTTTCTTTCTTGTGTCTTCAATATTTAATTTCTGTATATTCACCTCCAACCACTTGAATTGTCCTGTATTCTCTAATTCACCATTTCTTCAACAGTTTTCCTCTAGACACGCCTGAGAGTCTAATACAGTCATGTTAACACTGGCCATTCAATATTAGTTGTAGCACAGAAAAAAAAAAATATGCTATCATAGTAAGAGGAAAAATAATTTGCCATGTCTCCTATTCACCCTACAACAGCATAGTTACAGTGAAAAGCTGTGCTCATTTTCTTCAAGATAAACTCTTTTAACATTTTGTGATTACTGTCCCACACAGAATATAGATCAAAAAGACTAATATAATCCTATCCCATCAATTGAAACTGAGCAAGTATAACCTCAGAAATGTTGAGGTTTAAAACCATTAAATTAGTTAATGAAAGCCAGAACCACTCCATCAATACTGTTACCATTATGTTATAGTAAAATGACTCTTAAGAGGTTTAGAACCAACCACCTGCTATTTATTAGTTACATTCACTAGCTTCCCCTCCAACATCAAAAGAAAATCTGAGCTGGAATTTCCTGGAGGCCAGAGAATTATACAATAATTCTACAAAAATACTCAGATATCAATATTGTGTTATTTTTATTTCAAAATTATAAAAATGTCAAACTTTATAAAACTACAGCACATCTCTCAAATGCTTCAAATCACTAGACATGATGAAAACAAAGAATAGAAGCATACCATTGCTTGGTTTAGAACTGTAATTGGAGATGTGTGGAATGTCAGCAGCACCCTCATCAATGTTAATTTTTCCAGTGCTTGCACCAGGATACATCTGGCTTAGATCAAAATCATCAATATAGGCCTGTAGAGCCTGAGAAGCAGAACTATACAGTTTATCTTTATAGTGAAATGAGCCACCAGAGTTAGAGGAACTGCTACTACTTAGGCTGCAGCTTGCCAGGAGAGAAGATATTGAAGATTCTCCAGAACGAACTCTGTGTTTTGTGTTTGATTTTGCCATGCTTCCTCAAAATTTTTACGCAGTTCCCTTAGAAAACAGCTGTAATACAAAAATAACAGGATAAAGTACCAATTAAAAGCAATAATGTCTCTATATGTAAATAATATAAATAAACTTCTAAATTTTTTCATTGAGGAATAAAGTCAGATATCTATAATGGACAGTCCTAGTTGGGCATTGTATGTTTTCTATTGTCTACTATAAATTATGACATCAATGATTCAGAAAACATTTATTAAGAACCTACTATGTGCCTGCATGTACATAAAAATTACCTAAGAACATACATGGAAAAACCAAGAAAAGAATACTCTTTTTTTAAAGTCCTAAAAACTGTTGTCTTTTCCTCATATGGCAACATATTCTATGACATCACAATATCCAGTACTCCTCCTACACACACTGTTTTTCACATCATCATTGCCTACAATGAAAACAGTAAGGTGGTCAATAAATTTTTTCAAGACACCAAATGAAGCTCTAGAAACAAGAAGAGATCATTTCTCAGATTTTTGGCTAAAATCAAGAACAAACAATGGAGACTATGCACTGTTAATACTGAAAAAGCCACTATGAAATTTTAGCCTTTCCACAAAAAGGACTGGAGGACCATTTATAATATGCATCTGTGAAGTCATAGTTCAGAAGGGGGTAGTAATTATTCTCTTTTCATAAAATAGCATTGTTAATAATCACTTCCTGATCTTTTGGTTACCACCTTCCCTAATTTCTATTCTTTTGTTAAACAGATTCAGCTCACCTCTCTTTTAAAGCAAGCTTAAATAATGGAAACAGACAACGTATTTATCTTGCTCTTTTCCCATTACTAAAATTTAGGGAACTACTGCCAATCTTTGCACATCAATAATAGGACCTATATTTGAAAATCCAATAAATAACAGAATAAAAAATGTACTCGGTATATTATATTAAATTCATTGAAAATGGAAGAATTTTATGTACTAAAAAGGATTCATGTCGAGGTCCTAATATATGCTCTGATGCTGTAAAATCAATTATATTTAATGTTTTACTGTGATTTTGAAAATATTTAATTTCTAACTCAATGTTCTCTTAGCAACTGTCATTTGGACTTTATGGAAATTTTTCTAGGATGAGGTAAAAGAAGTTATCTTCCTGTGACAGCCACAGAGCATGCCTTTTCAGATTTGACTGTGGTTATTGGAAGAAACCGCAGAAGATAATAACTAACGTGTTCCATGTCCCTGAATGCTGTGGTAATGGAATACCTCTAAAGAATGCCTAGATTAAGTCACCTTTACCCTTTCTTTACTCTCTCCCCTACTAAAGAAGTACAAATTCATTCAAGTCAATTTGTTGGATAAGCTTAACTGAACAGTTTCCTCTCTCATTTGACACAGACTAGGTTACCGTTTTATTTTACAAAACCTTAAGAACAAATGCAAAAACCTTTAAAGTTCTCAATAGAGTGGAGATATCATTCCCTATTATTTTAATTCACACGACTGACCAAAGAAAATCCACAATGTAACTTTTATTATTGACAGTTTTCAAACGTATGCAAAAACAGGTTCATAAACTCCTATGCTTGCAATCGTTATCAACACACCTAATTTCTGACACACACCCCACCCGCTTCGACCCCATCCGTCTCACCACTTCCTCCGCAAAGGCTGCAGGTCGCATCTCCAAAGGCAAATCCATCAAGGCCCACAGAATGCTGAAGTTAGGGCGAGGCATTTCAATGACCTTGATTCGGAAACAGAATGTTCGGAGTTAAATGACCCTCGGGAGGTAAAAGCAGCCCGGCGATCTCTACGTCCCGCCGGGGAAGTCGGCTGGGCTCCGCGGCAGCGGCCGGAGACGCTGCGGGGAGTTCCCGGGAAGCAGAGGCTGCGGCCCCTGCGCGGAGCAGCTCCGGCCGCCCGGGAGCGCGGGTCGCACCTCGGCGGGGGATTCGGTCCCCACCCTGGGCTCGGGTCCCGCGGCGCTCCGTCCGCTCGCGCGGTCTCCGAAACGAGTCACTGCGCGCTGAAACCTCTCGCTCGCCCGCCGCGAGCCGCCCGCCTTCAGCCGCTCAGCCTCTCCCGCGGCTGTCAAAAGCACGGGGCACCCGCCCCGCGCGGCCCAAGTTCCCCACCACGCACGGAAAGATATTAAACGCACGCTTCCACAACTCTCCGCCGGGAGCCCGCGGGTGTCAGGGCACCGACGACGCGACAGGAGCCCGCGCCTCGCTCACCGCCCCGCCGCGGCCTCCGCCGGCCCGCAGCTCCCGCAGCCGTCACAGCCGAACTCGAACCCGCGCTCGCGTTCAAACCGACCCAACATGGCGCCGGCTGGCGGTGCGCGTGCGCGACGCTCCGGGAGGGACCAGGGGGCGGGGCGGGGAGGGGCGGGGCGTGTGGGGCCCCTGGAGGCGTTGGGTCCCAGTCCCTGCTGGGAGGTGTAGTTTCCGGTGCGTCGACCTTCGGGGTTGGGAGGGGCGGGTTCGGGGCTGTGTCCCTCGCCCTCCTCGGCTCGGTCACCGCGGTTCCCGGCCACTTCGCTCCTCCGACCGCAGCTATCAGCTTCGGCCGCCCGGGCTGTGGGATGGGGGCGTGGAGTGGATGGAGACTCGGCGGCCCTGGCAACCCCAGGCGGAGGCCACCTCTCAGCCTCCGGGCAGCTCCCCATCTCCAACCGGGAAGCGCCCTCCAGGGCTTCCTCCCAGCCAGCGCCGCGAGTGAAAACGCAGATGTGGGCTTGGAGAAGGGAGTTCCACCGGGAGCAAGACTGAACAGACTCCTTAGGGACCTCGATTTCCAGGGAAAAATGACACGGATTGGGGACCCAGTCAGGCAGCCCCGAGAAAGGGAGATTATAAGAAGAGGCAGAACGACCCATTAACCACATGTCTGACCCCCCTCTACAAGACTGGGACAGGATATGAGGTGCAAAGAATCCAGTTTCAACCTAGTGGTAGGACAAAAAAAAAAAAGATGCCATCTCAATATTGGTTTGTTTTCTTTCCACTGACCCTGTGGGTGAAGATATCCTGGACCAATACTCCATCTGAATATGTTCCAGTTCCTCTGACGTTACAGCACCAGGTAACAGAACTGTGCTCTGCTCTGTGCTCTGTTCCCCCTATCCCCTGTGCACTGTTAAAGTTTACTTTCCAGTTCCTCTTAGCAAATGTAGAAGTTCAGACGATATCACATTCAGTTGAGTGATTCAATTAAATACACCCATTGTGTCAGTGTTAGTTAGTTGAAAACTATAAAACACAATCCCTACAGGAGTATTACAGCTAGTAATAACTTCTGATCTGTGAAATTTCTGGGTCAGTCAAGGTCAAGGAAGTTGCTGATGGGAAATAAACAATTTTATGTGCTAGGACAAGTCCAGGTCAGGGAACAGACAAGGATTGTTAATGGCATCAGCAGAAAAAATAGATTTTTTTTTTAACCCGCATTCTACCTACATACCTTTTTAAACTGTCCTCCTCTCATTGTTTAAAGGTTTTTCATAAACATCTTTTAAAGTTTCTCATTACCTTTTCCCTCCATCTTTGGGCAGATATAGGAAATGTTTCCTAACAAAGACAAAATGTAAGTGAAGCACATTAAGAAGATATAAAGGAATTTATCAAATATTTTGACCCAATTCATGTATCAAAGTAATTCTATTTCTTTGCTCCCTTGCAGGTTAACAGATAGTGGAGGTTTCCAGCAGAATTCAGAGAAGAGTGCCAGTGGTTATTAAAATTCTGGACTAGATTTGTTAGGAAAGGTAAAGAAACCAGGACTGTACCAGGAAAGCGAAGGTTATAATGGTTTACTAAAGGCTTTGTAATATATATATATTTAAAAAATCATCTAGCTGTTGTGCTTTGCTGGAGAAATAAGAAAAAAATTCATGATCCAATCTAAAGAGTTTTAGATAACACCTAAGAAAGAAATGTTCTGATAATTAAACTTTAAGGTTTGTTGAAGTGCTTAAGAAAACAGCTCTTTTAAATAATTTTTAATGATAGCTTTAAATGTGCCCATTTTAATAAAGAAACTAACCTTGTAGATCACCTATAACAAGGCCCCCTCACTGTTTCAAGCCTTTAATTAAATCCTCATAGAGTGCATGGGATAACTGTTATTATTCCCATTCTTTAAATGTGGGGATTGAAGTTCAAAGGTTAAGCAGCTTACCCAAAATAGTGCAGGTGTTGGTTAATAGAAAGGCCAAATTTAAATCCTGGTCTGTTTGCATGTTCTTTGTACCATACCTGCCAGCTTTGCCTACCTGAAAACAGGCTGAGAGGCCAAAGGACTACAGCTTTCTGAACTCATTTACAGCAGAAACAGTAGTGTTCTCAACTGTCTTTGTTGTACCTACCGCTGTACCTCTTTCAGCCCCTTTGGGCCACTACAACAGATTACCACAGACTGAATGGCTTAGAAACAGTAAAAATGTATGGTTCACAGTTCCAAAGGCTAGAATTTGAGATCAGGGTGCCATCATAATTGGTTTCCAGTAAGGGCCTTTTCCAGAATGCAAACTGCCACCTTCTGGCTGTGTACTCACTTGTCAGAAGAGGCAAATGAGCTCCCTGAAGTCTCTTATGAGGACACTAATCTCATTCATAAGGTCTCTGCCCTCTTGACCTAATCATCTCCCAAATGCCCCACCTCTGATACTACTTTGTGGGAGATTAAGATTTCAATATATGAATTGAGGGGTGCAGAAACATTCAGTCTATTGCAGTATGTTCCTCACTTCCAGTAGGAGTTCAGTAAATGTGTCTGAATTAACTTAAACTTCATTGTGAGATGGTGCCATTTAAGCAAAGATACCGGTGACACAGTCAGTCATGTGAACATACTAAGTAGGAATTTTCTGAGCAGAAGGAACCGCAAGTACGAAGACAATGAGGTAGGAAGTTGCTTAGTTACATCTGAAGAGCAGCCAGGAGTTCAATATGATTGGAGCTAAGGAGACAAGAAGGCAATCAATAGGAGGTTTGAAGAGGAAGCCAGGGGTCAGATCATCCGCTGTCACTGCCACACACCTGGAAGGATGAATTCCAGAGAGCCTGTAGTGATGCATTACAGAAAAAGGAAGCATATAAGAAATAATATTTATTGAACGACTATTATGTGCCAGTCTCTAGGGTAGAATATTTAAGTGCATTATCTCAATCCTCACACTCATTCTACAGTGCATGTATTATCCAAACTTTATACCAAGAGGAAAATGAGAAAGCAAATAGTAAATAAAATGCTTCATACAATAAGTGACAGAGACAGGATTTTTATTAGGTGTCTTTGATTCCCAAACCTGGCTCTTTCCCCTGTGCCACATTTTTTCATATGCAAAACTGTAAAGAGAAAAGGTTCAAGCATACAATGAACAAGTAACTATTGTGTGTTTGCAAGTCACAGATGTTGTAAAAATAGTTCTAAAAAGTAATATAGCATTTTTAAAGTTTTTATATGAGCCAGGCATTGTGGCACATGCCTGTAACCCCAGCTACTCAAGAGGCTGAGGCTGGAAGACTGCTTGAGCCCACAAGTTCAAGAATAACCTGGCCAGCGTGGTTACTGGCCTGTGAAATTTCACAGATCAGGACAAAAAAAAAAAAAGATGCCATCTCAATATTGGTTTGTTTTCTTTCTTGTTTTTTCATGATTACATTCTTACTAGTCATTTGTTTTTAAAATTTTACAGATAGATGGACTATAAGGCAATTGCTCAGCAAACTGCCCAAGAAGTTTTTGGTTACAGTCAAGATACATCTGGCTGGAAAGTGATTAAAAATTCAGTAAGAAAACAATCATATTTCAAGAATTTTTTTTAATGAGAACTCACTGTAAAGACATTTCTTAAAAATATTTTCTTTCACCAACTAGAAAAAATATTTTTACTTTTGTGTTTTCACTTTCCTTTTTTCTACACCTGACAATTTATTTATGGATTTTTATTTCCCTTTGAGAAAAAGGTAACTGTTTCCATCAAGGCTTCTAAAAGATTTGTCGGAAATGTGTGAGTATTATTTTCTATTTGTAATCATTGTTTTCAATTCAGTGGCATCAGTATATCTAGAATTTAGTGCTGCTTCATTAACTGCAGAAATTACTGAATAGGAAATAGAAATTAGGTTGCAATGTGATACTAATAAAATAGTGATTATGTTCCATCTAGTCATTTATTTTCAAACCTAAAAACAATCACCACCACCCCCAAAAAAAATCTCCTCTTGGCTGGCAGTGTAGCTCAGTGGTAAATTATGTGCCTGCCATGCATGAGACCCTGAGTTTGAGTTCCACAAAAAGAAATATCCCTTCTAATGAATAATTCACTAAGATAGGAAAATTCCACTTCAAGAAATAATTAGTATACAAGCACATTGCTGTCTTCTTGCTAAAAGTAGTACTATATTTATAGCCTTAAACCCTTTCATTTCCCTTAAATGAACTACTAAAAAGTAGAAATCTTTTCCCTCACTTGTTTTGCTGATATATGTATTTGTCCCTATAAGCTGCTTTTAAGAATATTTTTGAGGATCCCCTTGCTTCAAATACAAGTACGCTAAGGAATTGTGCTGACTTAAAATTTTACTTAGCTGGGCGCATTTAGCTTGATGCACTGAACTTAAACCCACAGGGCATTCATGGTTGCCTTTCTTTTCACTAGCATGCTCTTCTCCCAAATCTCTACAAGGCTCATGTTGTTTTTGTAGTCAAGGTCTTCATTGTCTCCTCTTCAGAGTCACCTTTCTGGCCACCTGGCCCAAGTTCCCATGTATACACACTCAGCCATTGTTTAGCACTATATGAAATTTGTTTACTATTCATGTGTTATTATATGTCTCTCTTATTATAATAGGAACTTGATGAGAATAGGAACCAGAGTAGAAATATACTGTTCATTCACTGCAGTGTCCCTCGCACCAGAGCAGTCCCTGTTATTTAGATACATAATACTGAATGAATTGATGGATTTTTACCAACTCAAGAGTTAAAAATCTCTTTAACTACAGAAAAAAATAACATATTATGACAAAATAACATTTTATCAACATTTATGAATTTTCTTAATAATTTACTACCCCAAAAGGATCTTTTATGATTAACTTTGAACACTTATAAACATGAAAAGGGAGCTAGCTGCTTGGTTACAATTTCTTTCCTTTATGCCCTTAAGGGGTAAAACACAAATTTAACATCACAGTTCAGCCTACACATTTCCCTAAATGTTAGAAGCTCCTCATGTGTATTAATCTCATTATATGTCAGGCATTATGCCAGATGCTTTATTTTTAAATTTACTCCTCATGTATCTCACAGTATAAGCACTGTTCTTATCCCCATTTTACAGATGAATTTTACAAATGAGTACATTGCTATCCCAAAGTCTTGTAGCTCATCAATGTTGGTGAGACAAAAATTTTTAAAGGCTAGGACTTTGCTGCAGAGGCTCAATATACTTTCTTAATCATTATTTTCTCTAACTTCCCCCAAACTATCTGTGGAATAACTGAAGCAAATTATCCAGAAGAGTTTAGTAATGTATCTTTTCTACATTTAGATATTTCATGATGGTTTAGCCTATTACTTTTTTGCTCCTTTGCCAGTTATTTCATAAATTTTATTATCACCATCACTACCACCACTACATGTAATTGTTCTACTCTCTGAGGCAGACAAGTGAGATAGTCTTGTAAATATTTTAAGTTAAAACAAGTGTGGTGCTGCAGCCCTGTGATCCCAGCACTTGGGAGGCTGAGGCAGTAGGATCCCCTTGAGTTTGGGTTATATAGTGAGTTCAAGGCCGGTCTAAACTACATAGCGAGACCCTGTCTCAAAAAAAACAAACAAAATTTAAAAATTAAAAGATAAATTAAAACATTCAGGTTAAAGCAACAAATGTAATGAGTACATTTTCTATAACCAAAATGGAGAATACTACCTTAGCCCAGTAATCATCCTGGATCAATATCTTCTAAACCTTGAGTTTTGAAATTCTTCTTGACTATCAAAATAATGTATATATTGTTAATAACATAATATGAAAAGTGTTATTTAAGCTCTGCTGCCCTCTCAGTTTATAAAGAAGTTTGAGAATGAAAATTTATGTTACTCAGTGGTGAGTTCATAGCATTCTTAAAAACAGAATCTGGGATTTAGATTAGATCATTTCACATACTTCTGTACTTCACAAGTAAAAGAATCAGTATCATCAGTAACTCCAGCACTTCACTGTTGTTCATTCCTAACACTGTCGGGAATGACTACTAAAGGGTCTTCCTGATCTTCTAAGAAGAGCTGCATCACAACAATCCCCTTTTTGCCCTTCATATTCTTGTGCTTTTAGCTCTTCATTTACTATGAAGGGTCCCAACCCCTTAGATACGTCATTGTTTATATGCAAATACTCCAGAATCGAAACAAATCTGAAACATTTCTGGTCCCAAGCATTTCAGAGTCCACAGTGCTAATGGTTATACAGTGGAACCACCAGAAGCACCAGATAAGGATACTCAACTTATCTTCAAGATACCTTAAAATACTTCAAGTTTTCTTCACCATTATTTGCTAAATTAGCCCACCTTTAACTTTGATAGCAATATCTTTTCAGCTTAGCCTAAACTTAAGTTTATAATTTTTTTTTAATTTACAGATATCGTGTTGAAGGGATAATTCCAGAATCATCAATTAAACTATCTGATTTCCTCTACCAGCCTGGGGATAGGGTTACATGGGACAAATCACTGAAATCATACAATGTGGTACACAATATTGATTCGGTAATTTGTTAATACTACACTTTTACTGAATTAATATTTTTTAGTTTTATATCTTACGGAGTTAAGTTTATTACAGTTGTTTATAGGCAACATTTTATACATTCAGATTGAGTTGAACTTTTTATAAAAGTCTTAAAACTTCCTTCTCTACTAGTCAGGAGTTTACTTCTAACTAGCGTTGTTGTAAGTACATCTCTTGCTGCTGCATATGTTTTGTTATGAAGGAATTGAAGAGATTGACCTCCATTACATGGAAAACAAAAATTAAGCATACTTCGTTGATAAGAAGTCAAGGCAATTCATATTACATTGAAAAATAGGAACAGTGCAGATACCATAAGGACTTATGACTAGCATTAAAGAATAAGAGTAAAGCCCACAGAAATACTCTAATAACATGTAAAATGTGACAGATTAGGAAGACTTTCAAATGATTATCTCAGTTAAATAGCTATGAAAAGGGAGAATAAAAACAAAGAAACTAAAATACAGGTAATCGGAATGGACAGTGGGAAAAAGGTGAGGGAAAGGAGGATGGACTGAGAAGCAAGTAAGGTTTAGAAGGGGACAGAAGAAAGCAGTAGAAGAGGTGGGTACAGTGAAAAAACTCAGAAGGAAGAAAAAATTAATAAAATGGGAAAGAATGATATATAGTAAAGAAAGGTAAAAACAAGGAAAAAGAAGCAGTGGCTCCCTCATTCATTGAGACTGCTACAAAAATAAGCAACTGGAAAGGAAAATAATTCTTACTGTAATATATTAAAAGTTTATTGTGCATTTCTGTCACAGTTTGTGTTTTTTCTCTCCTATGAGTCAGTTTTGTGAAGGAATCCTGACTTCATTGCAATTCCTCCTGGAAAGATGTTTATTTTCTGACTAGTTCATTCTGCAAATACATTTTGAGCACCAGGCATGAGATGTATACTGTTGTTCCGGTACTGGAATACAAGATAGAAAAGTCCCTGCCTTCAGAAAGAATATATTTTTTAGTCAGACTTCATAAGTAAACAATAAAAAGTATCAGATAAAAAAAAGTATTATGAATGATTGGAATGATAAGAATAAATACTATGAAGGATTCAGGCAATGACCAGAAGAAGCTGATACCTAGTTAATCAGAAAAGGTCTTTGAGAGATATTTGAATAGAAATCTGAATAATGGAATATGCAGGTGAGGAGGATAGGCAAGCAGCGATGTGGGAGAAACAGCAGAGGAAAAACAAATGCAAAGAATTTGAATTTTGGAGTTTGGCAGTGTTTAATGAAGAAAAAAGTCTGTGAAGTTTGAACATAACAAGAAGCAGTGTGGTAAGAAGTGAAGTTGGAGAGGTTAGGCAAGGACCTGATTCTGTAAACGTCTGATAGGTCATGGGGAGAAATTTTATTCTAAGTTCAGTCAGAAGCCATTAGTGTTTTAAACCCTGATTTGGGACTGATTTGGTTTTAAGAGCCAACTGCTAAAAGAAGAACAGATTGTAAGAGGGCAAGAATGAAATTGGCAAGAACAGTTAGGAGATTCTCAAAGTGATCCAAAAGAGACACATAGTGGCTTATGCTAGGACAGCAGAGGAGGAGGAGATAAATCAGAGGGTCCAAGATGCACTGTAGAGAAAGTCAGCTGGATTTACTAATGCAAGGAGAATGGAATCAAAGATGAATTCTAAACTGAATTGTAATCCCAGCACTCAGGAGGCTGAAGCAGGAGGATTGCTGCGAGTTCAAGGCCAGCCTGGGCTACAGTGTGCATGAACTGTATAGCGTAACTCTGTCTTTGTCAAGAAGACAAACAAACTGAATTGTGCTAAAGAACGCACAATTAAATAAACTTTAGAAAAACTCAAACTGTATATTTAAAATGAGTGAGTTTATATGTAAATTATACCTTAGTAAAGTACTTTTCAAACAGGATTGGGAGTATAGCTTAGTGGTAGAATGTTTGTTTAGCATACGCATGGCTGCCTTCCATCCCTGGCACAAAAAGTAGTGCCACGATTTTAGCTAATGATGACTTTATTAGGAAAAGGAAGTAAATGAGACTGAGGGAATACAACAAACTTTTTTCTGATTTTTATCAATGATTGCATTTGTAAAATTGCAAATCTTTGGTTCTTTGAATCTTCCACCCATCAAAACACATAAAACTTAGGCTCCGTGTATATCTGCACATCACTTTAACATTTATTTAGAACTCTGTAATTTTGTCTAGATTTATTAAATTGATCTTAACGTCTAGAAGGGGAGAGAAATTATAGGAAGGCTAAAGGTGAATCAGCTTCATCTTGTAAAGCCCCTGAGCGCCCTATCAATAAATAATACATGCCCATGACCTTTCTAAGATTTGAATATTCAGTCTGAGAAACATTGTCCATCACAAATAAAAATCCAAACATTGGACTATTTCATTCATCTTTGTATGAATCACATCACAAAGATACTTCTGCTGGTGGTGAGTCAACTATTACTGGAAAAAATACTAGACTTGGCATCAGAAAACTTATATAATTTGCCCATGGTTACTGGCGCTAATGTATGATAGAATCAGGATTTGTACCTGGCTTCCTGATTCCAAAGTCCATGCCCTTTCAGGTCAGTATTCCATAGTATCTCTAAATAGCATCATACCATAAGGAAAATTATTTTACTTTCCTATTAATATTTATAGTATTCATCTCCGTGAGAGTGTTTTGCCTATTTATCCCATGAGTGAAAACAGAATTTCTGCTCTAGGTTTAAGATAGACAGCAATTTATTAATCATTAGGCACAGATCCAAAAAGGACACGCAATGTCATACAGGACAATATAAGAATATATTAAATAACCAAAGGTTGTGGGAGGTGGGCTGTGTAGTATCAAGAGGGTGAAGTGTGACCGCAAATTCTTGCAGGAAAATGTGATGGAATTATTGTTTGAATAACTCCCCAGGCCATCACAGAAGTCCACTGAAGAGGAATAAATAGTAACTGTGCTGGTCCTTTTAATAATAAGAGTTGTTTGGCCAGTGGGTCTTACTTGCAAAAAAGTAAAGAAAGAAACTTGGTGTTATGACAATCAAGACCTACCAAGTTTTGCCAGACATCCTAGGTAGTTCATAACAGTGGCCTTTATTTTAGGCCTTACATCACAAGGTGCTAAATACTATAATTCCTAGCCAATGTGGAGTAGTAGGAATAGTACTATACTGGGAAAACCAGAAGACTTGGGTTCTAATTCTGCACCCATCTCTAGTTATATGTATTATTTAATTGCTGGACTTCTATCTAAAAACTGGAAGCCTAGATGATCCTAAGATTATTCCCTTCATTTATACACTCATAATTGTAGCTTTAATGCTCCTTTAACATTAAAAACGCAAGTTTATTTAGAGATACAGTCTTAAAATTTCAAAGCCTTGCTTTTTCGAAATAGAGGCTGATCTTATGAAATTCTTTGGGGAATACAGATGACAAATATTAAATAATTTTTGTAATCCTTATGGTTTGATTTATTACAGGGCACATTTATATGCCATACCATTACACAAAGCTTTGCCATGGGCTCAATTTCCCCCCGAGACTTTGTCGACGTAGTATACATCAAGTACTATGAAGGGAATGTGGCCATTATCAGTTGTAAGTTGAAACATTTTGCCCACATTTTGGAATCACTGAGTCATTAATAATTTTTCCCTTTAATTCATAGTTTGGAAAAAACTGTTTTCAATTTTTTTTTTCTTAATTTACTCAGCAGGACCCACAAGTACACTTATCATGTTGTGATGCCGGATATTCTACCCAATATATAGGAGTCAATAATTATGGCATCTCCTAGATTTTTATGGCATAAACACTGTAGGACTCAATATACATAGATGATTGTTTGCTAAAACTTCAAGGCATATAAGAATCCTAAAGAAACAAATCCTAAAAAATGAAATTAATTTGGGACATATAATTTTATACTTGAATTACTCAGAATGGGCATATACAGTAACTGATAAAATGTTGAAAAATGTCTGCTAGATGGGTCTTTACATAAACATGCTTATATTTCATTTAGGAACTACAGGTTTTGATATATGCCTAGCATTTCCTCTACAAATGTGTCACTCTGTAAAATGCAAACGTGAAACCATTTCCTTATTTGCATTATTCACTAAAAGCAAACATTTCATACCATAGACATCTTTGGACTATGACAGCTTAAATAACTAATGGTAAAGAGACTTTGGTAGAGTGACAAAGATCCCTGTTTTTCTGTATAATTTGATTTAATCTTACTGTTCTATCTGGTTTCCTCTACTGTAAACTACTTAAGTATACAATTATGTTTTGTTAGTACTTCCCAACAAAGTTTCAGTTACTCTGAGATGACTGCTAAATTTCACAACCCAGACTGAGTCATCACATTCACCCAAACCCAGTTCACTGTGTCTTACAACAGACCAGCAAGGGCTGATACTCATAACATTCCTATTTGTGTTCTGTCTCATTTTTGAAATCAGAGCACACAAAACATACTCACTGCCTAGTACAAAATACTGTCTTGTCTGAATCATAAATCTGTTATTGTCCATCTTTCAAAATTGAAGTTCATTGCAAAATATGGACAGTAACCAGCTTCCCTGGTCAGAAGGAAGCTTAAAAGGAAGCACAGAGGTTAAACCCAACAAGTATAATCAGTGGTTCAGTATGCTAATCACTATTGAATTTGCTACAAGAAATTTCCATTGAACAAATTTTTTATGAATACCATTAGTTTCTTTTTTAGTGGGGTTTTTTAAACCTTACTCTGCACTTTGCTTTGAGCTAAATATTTTGCATGAATTTTCTCACTAATGAGGAAACTGAAGTTCACATAAATGAAGCAGTTAAGAAACGAAACTGAATAGCTATAAAACAACTGACACAATTTAAAACTCTTCTTTAAATTTTCCAAAATAATTGTAAACTACCACACTATATGCCTCACAAAAGACCTACACCTGTATGTAAACTGTAACAGTCATTTTAAAGAATAAAGCATAATCTCTGTATTTTGTTATCTTGTTTTGAGGCAGGGTCTCACTGTGTAGCTCAGGCTGGCCTTGAACTATCGGCAGTGCCCCTGCCTCTACCCCCTGAGTGCTGGGATTGCAGGCATGCACCTCCACACCTGGCATCCATATTTTAAACAGAGAAAAATATTTAGTATTACTTCTGGCAGTACTATTAAGCCAACGTAATAGGCTCTGTTAATACTATGATACAACGTGGAAAATTCACTCATTCCTAAGCTAGTGTTTTGTATTGTATTGCCCTCTGATCTGATAGCTAACATTAAAACCATAGAAAAAAAAATGCATCTTTTCCAACAAAAGCAAGATTTAGTTGCACAAAATAAGCAAATATATTATTCAAAACATGTATGGAAATAACAGTTATGAAACCATAATCAAATCACCTCTCCATTCACATACAATATAAATACTATACCACAGTTATTAAAACAAATTCTGTGGATTTTTAATTATATGTTGAAGTTACAAGAAATTAGCAGAAAAGGAACTTTTAAATCATTCAACCACTTTAAATATTTAAAGAAAAAGATTAATAACAAAGCAATGACAGTAAGCTGGGCATGTTGGCACACGCCTATAATCCCAGCATTCAGGAGGCTAAGGAACAAGGATGGCTGTGAGTTCAACACCAGCCTGGGTTACAAAGTGAGCTCAAGGCCGGCCTGAACTGCATAGTGAGACCCTTTCTCAAAAAGACAAAAAAACAAAACTAAAACCAAAGCAATGACAAAATCCATGAACCACAACAGCACTACCAAGTCTTTCCTTTGTGATTTCTTTTGCTTCAAATTTCAGAAAATGATACTTTCAATAGTTTATCCTATATAAAAGAATAACAGCATCTTTAGAAATATTAGTGTAAATATATACAGAAATGCATAAAGTAATGTTAATGCTGATAACTAAGTTAAATGTTACACATTTTCAAAAATACGTTGCCAGTAGTAGTTTTTCATCTTCATTTTAATTTTTTAAAATCATTTAGCTAAAAGTGTGGATTTCCCAGGATATCCTCCATCTTCTGAATATATTCGTGGTTATAACCATCCTTGTGGCTATGTATGTTCACCTCTGAAAGAGTAAGTGTTATTTGCATTTATTTTACAATTTTTTAAGACAGACTTGCTCCTCAGTAGAAATGTGCCAGCATATATGGCTGGGAAAAAAACTGTCCCTAAATGCAATTTAAAAATAACTTTTTCTGTTTGTTTTCATCTTAAGTATAATCAGAATATGTAATTTTCTATAAAATACTACTTGAGGTTTCTGGTAATAGTCAAGAACACACCAACATATCCCTACAGTTCACCTTTTCCTGATATTTTATATTTCACCGTTAGTCACTTTTATAAATTAAGGAATTTTTGCAAATTAAAAATAAATTTTGGGGCTGGGGATTTAGCTCAGCAGCACAGCGTCTGCCTGGCAAATGCAAGGTCATGAGTTCGGTTCCCGGTACCCCTCCCCCAAAAAAAACCAAAAAAATAAAAATAAAAATAAATTTTCCAGGGTTGGGGATATAGTTCAATGGCACAATCGCCCGCCTGGCAAGTACAAGGTCCTGAGTTCAATTCCCAGTACCAAAATAATTAATTTCCCTAGAACAACTCATATTTATCAGCAGTGCATCCTTTACCTTGAATGAACTATTTCCAAGAGACTAACGCTGAGATAGAGACCTACAGAATAACATATCTAAGACATACATTCAGATTAGAGAAAAGCTGAAGAAATCAGAAATGAGTTAGTGCCTACAGGTGGCCAGCCTCAGGATGACACAGAGATATGAAATACACAGGTTCTGTAAAATCACGTGCTCTAATTCAGTGTACATCATTTCACACATTCCTTAAGCATTAACTTATGCTAATGATATTGTATTAAGAAAGTAAGTGTAGGTGGGCTGGGGATTTAGCTCGGAGGCACAGCGCCTGCCTCGCAAGCGCAAGGTCGTGAGTTCGATTCCCCGTACCAGAAGAAAAAACAAAAACAAAACAAAAAAAGAAAGTAAGTGTAGGGCCAGAGGATTTAGCTCAGTCGCACAGCGCCTGCCTGGCAAGCACAAGGTTGTGAGTTCGATTCCCGGTATCAGAAAAAAAAAAAAAACAACAACAAAAAAAGTAAGTGTAAAATTCTCTATTTGGTAAAATATAAACTCTCAATACAGAAAAATGTACTTGAATGAAGCCAAAGGAAATTATAGATCTGTATTCCTTAGTATTTTCTCTACTGAACTAGAGAACTAAAATGTTGCATTAATGAACAGAATCACCTGTATAGATGATGATAACAGTCACAACATGTGGCCTTTCCTTTCATTTATCAGTTTTGATTACCTGGCCAAGATTTTATTATCCATAGCAGACAAGAACAAAACAAATGAAGGATTATTGCTCCAAATCAGCAAAGTAAAGCAGTTGTTCACAGGGACCCGATTTGGAAAATTACACACTCTAAGCATGCTTCACTGGTCAAGTGTCCTTCTTGAACTTTTTTATCAACCTCTCCTTTCCACTAGAAAACACATGAGACAATCCCTGATCTTGATATCCCATCAAAAAATGGCATGTTCTGCTATAATAAAGATATAGTTTCATTCAGTTATGGATAAAGATATTAATAAAAAATCATTCTTTTTTACCTTCTCTTTCCATGCAGTCCAACATTTTGGACAGCCAAAATTTATGAACAAGGCATGCAAGACACTTATATCAGTAGCAAATTACTCTCTGGTAAATACTGGGGAAGCTATTCTACAAGTTGTAAACCCACAGTAAGTGCAAATAGAGAGTTAGGACCACATAAAATGCTGATAAGTATTTTCAGTCCAGCCCTTTGAAGCACTGTAAAAATAGTCTACACTTTGCATGGAGAAGGGTATGAGAAAATGGAGACTAACATTGTTGATTAGTGCAGCATCTTCGTACCCCCAAGAGAATTTTTAAAACTGTATTCTCCCTTGCATGTTTTTATCGACCTTAAAATCTTCCATAGGATTAAATTGAGGAAAGGAGTATAATTTATACTATACTGTAAATGTTAGCAATTTTTAAAATGACTGTATCACCCTTATAAATGTATCAGTAAAATCTAAGTACTGTAATTTGAAATCTACCATTATATTATCCATTAGAAAGTACACAAAGCTTTTAGCAGTCAGCAATTTCCCAACGTTCTTTTTTGAATTCACATTTTAATTTCCACACACACACAATTGTTTGCTAATGGAATAGACTTCAGACTTTGAATTAATTTTTAATCACCTCATCATAATTTTCTGCAAAAACAATATGAATTTAAGTTTTTAAATTTAAGGAATTAAATTGTGGCCACTTTTAAAATATATGTGCCTTTTAGAACAAATTATTACATATTGATCAAAATAAAAAATATTACAAATTTTATCACATAATTATTAAACATAGAATAAAGTGTTACTGAAAATACATTTTTTTTATCATTAGCAAAACTTTGCATTTTGTGTATGCCGGGCCTTTTCGAAACAGTTGGCACATATTGATTCATTTATTCCTCAAAGTAACCCCAGACTAGGTAACCCCAACTTTTAAAAGACAAAGTAAAAGCCCAAGGTTATATCACTTTTTCAAGCTTATGCATAGGTAATAGCAAAGCTCAGTTTCAAGCCAAGCCAAACTGGTTCCTGCATCCATGTTTCCAACTTTTGCCCTCATTTCCTTGAAGTGTGGATGAATATTACTAATAAAATAAGATGACTTTCAATACCAAGTCTATTGCTACTTTTCATTTTATAAGTAGGAGAACTGAGAAACTTTATTCACAAAAATAATTAAAATGGAAAGAATATAACTTACATTTATGCCTTAAAATCCTTCTAAATTATATAAAATGAATTGCATTCCTATCAGCAAAAATAGTTTAATGATCTATCAACTGACAACTCAATTAAATTTGTAACTTTATTGAAAGAATTGCACAATTTGTAATAATATTTATCACCCAATCATTCATCATTTGCTTTCACAACTCATTTCTAATAGATTGAATTTTTCCTTGAGCATTTCAGATTTTAATACCATTTGCCATGGAAAAGCACCATAGTTCTAGTCATTTACTTTTTAGTGTGAGTGGTATGTCTTCATTTTGTAAAGCAAATAAGTTATTTTGAACAGGCTGATCAGAAAGAAAACCCTACATATCCATCAGAAAAATAGATCAAGTTAAGGAAAAATGCATATAGAAGGTATGAATTTAAATTTTTTTCCTTAAAAGTATTCAACCTCTCATACCTCAGTTTGGAGATCACTGTGTTAGAATAAAAACTATTAGTCTTCTTAGAGAGCAACTTGGAAATAACACTTCAAAATGTTAAATGTAGAAAGCTTTGACTTAAATATTCTAAGTACTTAAAAAGCATAAATAGATACGTTACAAAGATGTTTTATTTCAACTTATACTACTCAAAAATGAGCAGAACCTGACAGTCAATTAAAGGGCTACTAAACACAGTATGACGTACTATAGATGACTATGAAAAACAATTAAGCAAGCTGTAAGTACAGACACAGAAGGAAGGATAAGATATCCTGTGAAGAGGAAAATAAAGCTAGCTGTAGAAAATACATCCTTTTTTTAAGCATGTACGTCTAGGTGTATTTATATGTGTATGTATAATGTATAGTTACATGTGGGGTTTATAACCATATACTTTCAAAAATCAATAAAATTACAAAAAAGAAAAAATGCCTAAAACTGAAGATTTTAGAACATATTACTATTTTATGTAAAATTTTTATTTATAAAGATGTGACTGCAAGTCACATTCTCTTTTTGCTTCCTCTCCTTGAGTAACTATCTTACTACAAGCACTATGGAAAGAATCAATGGTGAATAAGACCAAAAGCCTGCTGTTCATAAAATGATAAATTCAGTAGACTAATCTAAAAATTCTTTGTCTTTTTTAAACTTTTCCTTTGCTTACAGAAACCCAGCATGTTCCAAGTTAGTGATGTTTGTTCAGACAGAAATGAAAGGAAAACTGCCTCCATCAGTAATTGAAAAAACCATGCCTTCCAACTTAATAAACTTTGTCCTCAATGCAAAAGATGGACTAAGGACACGTAAAGCTCCAGCAGAAAGTGGAAATCATAACGGCCATTCATCATCCCCCAAAAAGAAATAAGGTCATTCTGCTGTTAAATCATAAAGACCATATAAACTGCTAGTAAGTATAGTGTTATAGTTACTGTGGTTTACTTCTAAGTCAGCATGCATAAGTACTGTTAAATTATTGTACACAATAGTCTTCTATAAATTAGTAAAGATACTTTATGATAATAAGAACTCAGAGTTACACAAGAAGATAACACCAAGTATAACTTTTAATCCCACATGCTGATGTTAAATAACTAGTTTTTTTTCTTTTTTTTATTGAGGGGGCACTGGGAATCAAACTCAGGATCTCATGCTTGCCCCGCAGGCGCTGCACTACTGAGCTAAATCCCTGGCCCCTGTTTTTTTTATTTTCTTTTACAAATTTATTTACTTATCTTTGCATGGCGATTTTTTTTATTAACTTTATTGGTGCACTTTAAATATATATAATGATTATATGCAACATAGGGAATTTGTACCTGTATATGCTATATCTTGATTCCACTTTTTTCCCCCAATTCCCTCCCTCCCTTCAACCCCCTTTCTCCTTATTTACAAAGCTTTGTTTCCTAAATAACTGTTATTAATACACTTTTAGTTTTTCCTTTTGTCCCTGGAAAATGCTGTGTATGCCAATCATTTCATACAAAAGCAAATATGTTCAGAGGTCAGCATTAATTAAAGATTAAAATACATTTTAAATCATTTTTCCTTTACTCATTGCTTAAATGGAGGATTGGAGGAAACTCAAAAATTTTAAAAAGTCACGTAGCAGGTTGAAGGTATAGCTCAGTGGTGTAGTACTTGCCCTAGGTTCCATCCCCAACACTGAAAAAAAAAAAAAATCCCACTAGACTATCTAACCAGTGACATTTCGCATTCATTCCCACTTGCATCAGTAAGATACAACCAGGTGGTGGGACAATGAACTAGCCAGCAGTCCACTTCGCTGTCCCTTACCCTGGTGTCAGTGGTCTTTTCTACCCACTGGGAGGCAGCATGGATATACAAATGAATGTTTACTTTTGTCATGAAGCTATTAACGGGGCCAGAAAAGAACATGAACAGCAATCTCATTCCTCTACAATGAGTTTCAGTCAATGCTCTACTTTTGCGAGAGTGGTGATAAATACTACATGGCCCTTACACTATGACTGAATCATGTATTGCCTGCTAAAAAGGTATCCACAGTCCTTCATAAAGGAGAGAAGAATGGGATGGGTAAAAATATACTACCCTCATAAGTATACTGAACATATGTGATGTTGACAATTCAATGGAGGATAGAATGTACCAGCAAGTGGTGTTGGAACACTTGGGTATCTAACCTTATACCATAATAATAATTAATTCAAAATGGAACATGGACTTAAATGCAAAATATACCACCACAAAACTTTTAGTAGAAAATCTTCATAACCTATAGCTAGGCAGAATTCTTAAACGTGACATCAAAAGCAAGATTCTTGGGGCTGGGGATTTAGCTCAGTGGCAAAGCACCTGCCTGGCAAGCATAAGATCGTGAGTTCAATTCCTGGTACTGGAAGAAAAGACAAAAAAAAAAAAAAAAAAAAAGCAAGATTCTTAAGGTAATCATCAAAATTTAAAATGTATGCTATGTGAAAGACCCCGTGAAGATGATGAAAAGACAAGCAATGGACTGGGAGAAAATATTTGCAAGACATCCTGACAACGAGTTTGTATCTATATTTAGAGCTTTTAAATCTCAACAGTATAAAGAACAATCCAATTAGAAAATGGCCCAAAGACATGGACATTTCACTGAACAGGAAATAGAGATAGTAAATAAACTTATGAAAAAATATTCAACATCATTGGCCTTTAAGTAAATGAAAGTAAAAATAAAAATGACATGTCAGTACATTGTTCAGAATGGCTAAATTTTTTAAAATATATAATGATAATGTAAAGTTATTAGAAAGGATAGAGAAACTAGATCATTCATATATGGCAGACAGAAGTGAAACAGTATTGCCAATCTGAAAAAGTTTAAGTGTCTTACATAAGTAAGCATGTACTTACTGTTCCCCAGCAAATGCGTTCTCTATCCTTTTCCCCAATGGTAACATTTTGGGTAACTATAGTGCAATAGCACAATTAGGAAACTGACAGTGACATCATTTATTCACATTTATTCAGATATCACCATTTTATACTTATCTCTCTGCATGTGTAATTCTATGTAATTTATCACGTGTGTATCTTCCTATGACCACTACAGTCAAGACACCGAACAAGTTTGTCCTGAGGACCCCTCCTGCTGCTCTTTCAAAGCCACAACCACTTTCCTTCTTGTCTCCTGCCAACCTCTGTGACTATAATTGAGTTCTTCATCTCTATCATTTTGTCATTTTAAGGGTGTTATATAACTGGTGGAACATGCCTGAAATTCCAGCACCTGGGAGGTTGAGGCAGGAGCATTTCAAGTTCAAGGCCAGCCTGGGTTTTATAGCAAGGCCTAGAATAACAGGACCTTGTCTTAAAAAATAAAATTGTATAAATGGCAGCATACACTAGTCAGTCTTCTGACATTGGCTTTTAAAATTCAGTATCATTCCTGGAGACCTTGCAAGTTATTGTGCATCAACAGTTTGTTCCTGCCAAGTGTGGTGGTGCATGCCTCTAATCCTAGCACTCGAGAGGTTGAGGCAGGAGGACTGCTACAAGTTTGAGGCCAGCTGGGCTACATAGTGAATTCAAGACCAGCTTGAACTACATAGTGAAACCCTGTTTAAAAAAAAAAAGTTTGTTCTTTTGCTCAGTAGTATTTCATGCAGGGATTACCACAATATTTGCCCATTACAGGATTTGCAGGTTGTTCTCAGATCCCGGTTAGTTAGAATACAGCTCCAATGAACACTTTTGTACAGGTTTTTGTGTGAACATTTTTATTTTCCTAGGATAGAGAATGCATCTGCTAAGGAACAGTAAATACATGCTTAGTAAATACATGTGGTTTGTGAGAACTCAAAAAAAAAAGATCAGACTTACCAAATTTAAAGACCCAGTTCAAAAATGGGCATCTGAGATGAATACACACTACTCAGATGAAGAAGTACAAACAGCAAATAAATATATTAAAAAATGTTCAATATCATTGGTCCTTCAAGAGATGCAAATTAAAACACTGAGATTCCATCTCACTCCAGAAAGAATGGTTATTACCAAGAAATCAATCAATAACAAATGCTGGAGGGGCTGTGGGGAAAAAGGAACCCTTCTCCACTGTTGGTGGGAGTATAGACTGGTGAAGCTACTGTGGAAATCAGTGTAAAGATTCCTCAAAAACTAGGATTAGAGGACCCATTTGACCCAGTTATTCCCCTTCTGGGTATATTCCCAGAAGAATTAAAATATCATGCCACAGCAATATATGTGCACCCTAAATTGATGCAACTCGAGACCACACATTTATCTCATACAAGTGAGATAAATCAGACTTATGTGTAAACATAAGTGAAATAAACCAGATAAATAAGATGCATATGTGTAAATGTCATATTGTCTACCTAGTGTGAGAAGTTGAAAGTGTAATAAAATCCAAAATGTACAATACATATTGTGAAATGGGAAGAAACTGTTCAAAAGGAAAAAGAAACTAGGATGGGGAAAGAAGAAAAGAAGTAAGGGAAAAACAAAAAAAGAAAAAAATATATATACACACAACATACTAATTTCTCTTAGTTCATTGAAAAAATTTGTGCTAATATTGTTTAGACAATTAGATGCCTATATCTTGTACTCTGAGTTACTAATTTAAAGATAACAATATGCAATGTATTAATTATTGTTACTCTATCATCTTGTTTTGAAATATTTATTTTTCTTTCAAATAAAATTTAAAAAGAAATTGTGCTTTGAAGAGATCTGTTTTATAAAAAATAAAGTTCAAAATTAAAGTGTAAGAAGATAAGTTCATTCTAATGAAAAATAACTAGATATTTCCAATGTAAAGTCACTTCTGATACCTGTAATAATCACCTTCTAGGTTAAAATGTTTGTTTTCTAGCCACCTTCAGGAGACAGAGAATGTAATGAAAATTAGTAAGCGGGTTAAAATTAGTAAGAAGAACACAGTGTTGGGAGCTGGAAAATGTGTGTGAACACTGAAGTTGAGAAATAAAGATAATCACTGCTTTGTGTTCCCCAATCTTTGAATGTCTTTTATCTTACTAAAACTGTAGATACTGGGTATTATTTTTCTGTTTCTAATACATTTTTAGGAGACACAATTATAGATGCATTTATATTATGATTTAGGTATGATTTATTTTATTGAATATGCCACTGGGGCAGACACCCACCATTTAAAGAGGTTTGTTTTGGCTCACAGTTTTCAAAGGATCCCGTCTATGGTAGGCTGTCTCCAAGGCAAACATGGGATGACAGAAGGGCATGGCAGAGGACAACTGCTTACCCCATTGGCAGTCAGGCAGCAGGGAGCAAGAAGGGAGGAGGAAGGGACAAGAAAGCACGTCCCAAGTGACCCACCCCTCCCACCAGACCCAGCTCTAAATAGACTTTGGGGGACATTTTAGACCTAAACATAACATTCTGCCCCTGATCTCCAAAAGGCTCATGTCTCTCATTATGCAAAATGTATTTAGTCCATCTCTTAAGAGATGACAAAATGTTTATATAGTTCCAGCACCGCGGAAAAGTCCAATAACGAAGTCTCTGAGACTCAAGGCAGCTTGAGCTATAAGCCCCTGTAAATTTCAAAAAGAAAGTTAAAATACTTCCAACATACAAAGACTCATGGTAAGCATTCCCATTTCAAAAAGGAGGAATGGCAAAATAAAAAGGAATCAGACCAAAACACGACCAAAGATCAGTAGGGCAAACCTTAAATCTTGTAGCTCCATATGCAACATACAGGGCAGGCTGAGGTGACATGTGATATCAAAAGGCTGGGTCACAGAAAGTCAAAGAATGAAATAGCATTGGAGGGGCTGGGGATTTAGATCAGCGGCACAGTGCCTGCCTGGCAAGTGCAAGGTCATGAGTTCAATTCCCGGTACCGGAAAAAAACAAGCATTGGAAGTGGGCAAGGTAAGTTACAACTGAGGAAGTTTATTGAGAAAGAAAGGACGAAGAAAAAGCCCCTGCTGACCAAGTATGGCCCTGGACAGTCTGGAAGAAGATGTCTAGAGAAATGGTGGCACCCATGCTGCAGCAGGCTGTTTGTATCACTGAAAGCTCTTAAAAGTTTCACCACCACGGCTCTAGAGGTTTCTTTCTATTCTGCAGACCAGGACTTTGCTCAGTGTCTGGTAGGCACTTATCCCAAGTGGCCTCATAATCTTAAAATACCCAATTAGTACTTGGGTTTCCTAAATTTCTCAAAACCAACTCAGATGTGAAGGGATTTGTTTACTTGGTACATTCCATTCCCTTTAAGGAATTCATTCCCTGAGTCAGAGTCTAACTGCCTGACCCCACCATAACTCTTATCACTGTGGCATTGCCAGTTGAAGCCCACCTGGCCTCTCTTTTAGGCTGGCTCCACCCACTGCCTGCAGTTTTCTTCAGCAGGTAGTCCATCTGCCTGGAATCATTTCAGTTACCGGGGCAGGGCCAGGGATATAGCTCAGCAGCACAGGGCCTGACTGACAAGCATCAGTTCCTGAGTTCAATTCCCAGTACCAAAATAAAATAAAATAAAATAAAAAGTTCCTGGGACAGCTGGGGATGGTGGTGCTTGCCTGTAATCCCAGTTCTGTGGAGTTGAGGCACAAGCATTATTGCAAGTTTGAGGCCAGCCTGGACTACACAGTAAGTTCAAAGCCAGCCTAAACTACATAATGAGAACAAAATAAAACAGGCCCCTCCCCATACCCCTGCAGGAGCCCGGCTGAACCCTGAATAGCTTCCGGAACCTCCCTGAGGCATCCCTGCCCCTCCCCCCATGGTGTGGGATCCCGGCTGCACCTAGCAGCTTTGGGAAGCTCTGTGAGCCACTCCCACCCTTGCTTCACCATGTCGGAGCCAGGCTGAGCCCTGGACAGCTTTGGGGGCCTTGGTGACCACCCTCCCACACTCCCTCACTAGAACCTGGCTAAACCCTAGACAGCTTCAGGAACCTCGGTGAGCCATCCTTGCCCCTCCCCGACCAGTGTGGAAATGAGGCTGAGCCACAGCTTCTGGGGCCTCTTATCACCTGCCACCACCAGCGTAGGAGCTGGGGGGCCCCAGATAGCTTTGGATGCCTCACTGATCATGCACCACCACCACCCCACTACAGCTCATGAGAGACAGGCTGAGTCCTGAACAGCTTAGTGAACCTTGAGTGGGAGCCAAGCTGATCCCCAGACAACTACTAGAACCTCCGTGAGCCACTCCCACCACTCTCCCACTGGCGGAGCCAACTGAGCCCTGGAAAGCTTCGGAAGCATTGGCAATTGCACCTTGCCCCCAACACACACATGCTAATAAGGACTCTTGCCCAGCCACTCGCACACCATCCTGGGACTGAGACTGAGCTCCAGGGAACATCCAGATCTTCAAAAATGAAACAAAAGAGCACAATGCAATCTCAAACCTCCACCCAACCCAGAACAAATCCAGGAGATATCGACAGAAAAGAGCTTGGAAGTCATATACCTGAAATTTCTGAAATAATAGCAACTGAAGTAAAGAAACAACTCCATCAAGGGATAGAAGACATCAGATCAGAAATAATCTTTCAGGTAAAAAAAGAAATCACAGCAATAAAGAATTGCTCAGCACATCTAAAGACTACGTAGATTAAAAAAGAGCACAGAAAAATGTTGGAAACTTTGAATGAACAGTACAGGAAAGAATTAGAATGCATTAAGCAGATTCAAAGAGGTATCCACAAAATTAAAATTCCATCAAAAGCTGGCAAAACTGCTTGAATGAAGCGGGAGATAGACTTTCAGACCTTGAAGACAGTGTTGCACTAATGATCATGAAAGGAAAGCTCTCTCATAAATAAGAAGGAACCAGGAAATAACAATTCAACAGCTACAAGATGATGCAAACTAAAACAATGTAAGATTAATAGGTGTCAATAATAGCAGGAGTCAACACAAATGATATAAAAAGACTATCTGCAGAAATAATAGCACACAAATTCCCAAGCATGGAAAAAGAATCGGACATATAAATAAAAGAGGCATATAGAACTCCAGCTAGTCATAACCAAAATAAATCTACATATATATGTAATCAAGATTTTAGAAATTCAGGAAAGAACAGAATATTAAAAGCTGTTAGAGGAAAGAAACAGATCACCTATAAAGGAAAGCCCATGAGAATCACAGCAGATCCTTCAATACAAACCATCAATTCAAGAAGAGCTTGGAGTGAAGTATTTCAGGTCCTGAAGGAAAACAACTTCCAACCCAGATTGATATACCCTGAAAAACTATTCTTTAAAATTAATGCAGGAATAAAATATTTCCATGATAAGGAAAAACTGAAGAAATTCATGAGCATCAAACCAACCCTACAAAGAATACTAAAAGATAAAAAGAGATAAAAATGACCATAATTTCAAGAACAACAACAGAAAGGAATCACCAAGCAGAGCAAGCAGTTAAATGGAGGGAAAAAGGAAGAACCAACAGCAGGAAAATAACATGACAAAGATAAGCCAATACATATCAGCTATAACCATCAATCTAAACAGTCTCAAGTCACCAAACAAAAGAAGCAGATTGGCAGAGTGGATCAAGAAACAAAATCCAACAAAATGCTGTATACAAGAAACACATTTCACTCAAAAGGAAATTCACAAACTCAAAGTCAAACAATACTCTCTATGACAGGAACCCAGAAAAAAGTGGGGGTAGCTCTTCTGTTTGCAGATAATGTGAACTTCAAGAATAATCAAAGAGATGAAGATCACTGCATACTTATTAGGGGAAGACAGCAAGAGGAAGAGATAGCAGTCATAAATATCTATGCACCAAATACAGGAGCACCCAACTATATAAGACAAATTTGAACAGATGTGAAAAATGGAATAAGCAGTAACAAAACTCTACTGGGGGACACTGACACCCAATTGTAACAAAGAGATCAATCAACTAAACAAAAAATCAACAAGAAATCACAACTAAACCAAACTTGTGAACAAATTGACTTAGTAGACCTTTACAGAGTGTTCCACCCAACAACATCAGAACATACATTCTTCTCAGCTGCACATGGGACATTCTCTAAAATAGACCATATATAGAACATTAAATATGCTTAGGTAAATGCAAAGGAATTGAAATCATCCCATGCATATTATCTCACCATAGTGCAATGAAATTAGAAATTATTGCAAAAAGAAATCACAAAAACTCTATAAACACAAGGAAATTAAGTAACATTCTTCTGAAGAACCGGTGGGTCACAGATGAAATTAAAGAAGAAACTAAACAATATTTACAATCAAATGAAAATGCAGATACAACTTACTGGAATCTGTGGGGTGTAATGAAAGAAGACCTAAGAGAGAGATTTATAGCAGTGAATTCTGACATCTGGAAAACTGAATGAGCACAAATAAACAATCTTATGCTGCACCTCAAGCTTCTAGAAAAAGAAGAGCAAGTCAAGCCCAAAGCCCAAAGAAGGCAGGAAAT